GAGATAATGAGGGACGGACTGCATTATACATTGCTGCTCAGAATGATCATCTTGATGTCACCAAATATCTGATCAGTCAAGGAGCTGAGGTGAACAGGGGAAATAATAAAGGTTATACTGCATTACGCACTGCTGCTTTCAGTGGTCATCTTGATGTCACCAAATATCTGATCAGTCAAGGTGCTGAGGTTAATCGGGCAGATAATGAGGGGTGTGCTGCATTATGCGTTGCTGCTCAAAATGATCATCTTGATGTCACCAAATATCTGATCAGTCAAGGAGCTGAGGTTAATCAGGCAGATAATGCGGGATGTGCTGCATTATGCGTGGCTGCTCAAAATGATCATCTTGATGTCACCAAATATCTGATCAGTCAAGGAGCTGAGGTTAATCAGAAAGATAATGAGGGTTACACAGCATTATGCATTACTGCTTTCAAGGGTCATCTTGTTGTCACCAATTATCTGATCAGTCAAGGAGCTGAGGTGAATAGGGGAAACATTAAAGGTTATACTGCATTACGCAATGCTGCTTTTAGTGGCCATCTTGATGTCACCAAATATCTGATCAGTCAAGGAGCTGAGGTTAATCAGAGAGATAATGAGGAATGTGCTGCATTATACGTTGCTGCTCTTAATAATCATCTTGATGTCACCAAATATCTGATCAGTCAAGGAGCTGAGGTGAATACGGGAAATGATAAAGGTTATACTGCATTACGAACGGCTGCTTTCAAGGGTCATCTTGATGTCACCAAATATCTGATCAGTCAAGGAGCTGAGGTTGATCAGGCAGATAATGAGGGATGTGCTGCATTATACCTTGCTGCCCAGAATGATCATCTTGATGTCACCAAATATCTGATCAGTCAAGGAGCTAAGGTGAATAGGGGAAACAATAAAGGTTATACTGCATTACGCAGTGCTGCTTTCAAGGGCCATCTTGATGTCACCAAATATCTGATCAGTCAAGGAGCTGAAGTTAATCAGGGAGATAATAAGGGGCGGGCTGCATTATACCTTGCTGCTCAGAATGATCATCTTGATGTCACCAAATATCTGATCAGTCAAGGAGCTGAGGTTAATCAGGCAGATAATGAGGGTAACACTTCATTATGCATTACTGCTTTCAAGGGTCATCTTGATGTCACCAAATATCTGATTAGTAAAGGATCTGAGGTGAATAGGGGAGATAATAAAGGTTATACTGCATTACGAAATGCTGCTTTCAAGGGTCATCTTGATGTCACCAAATATCTGATCAGTCAAGGAGCTGAGGTTAATCAGGCAGATAATGAGGATTGTGCTGCATTATACGTTGCTGCTCAGAATGATCATCTTGATGTCACCAAATATCTGATCAGTCAAGGAGCTAAGTTGAATACGGGAAATAATAAAGGTTATACTGCATTACGCACTGCTGCTTTCAGTGGTCATCTTGATGTCACCAAATATCTGATCAGTCAAGGAGCTGAGGTTAATCAGGCAGATAATGAGGGATGTGTTGCATTATACGTTGCTGCTCAGAATGATCATCTTGATGTCACCAAATATCTGATCATTCAAGGAGCTGATGTGAACAGGGGAAATAAGGAAGGTTATACTGCATTACGCAGTGCTGCTTTCAAGGGTCATCTTGATGTCACCAAATATCTGATCAGTCAAGGAGCTGAGGTTAATCAGAGAGATGATGAGGGACGGGCTGCATTATACGTTGCTGCTCAGAATGATCATCTCGATGTCACAAAATATCTAATCAGTCATGGAGCTAAGGTAAATACGGGAAATGATAAAGGTTATACTGCATTACGCACTGCTGCTTTCAATGGTCATCTTGACGTCACCAAATATCTGATCAGTCAAGGAGCTGAGGTTAATCAGGGAGATAATGAGAGACGGGCTGCATTATACCTTGCTGTTCACAATAATCATCTTGATGTCACCAAATATCTGATCAGTCAAGGAGCTGAGGTTAATCAGGGAGACTATGAGGGACGGGCTGCTTTACACGATGCTGCTCAGAATGGTCATCTTGATGTCACCAAATATCTGATCAGTCACGGAGCTGAGGTTAATCAGGGAGATAATGAGGGACGGGCTGCATTACACGATGCTGCTCAGAATGGTCATCTTGATGTCACCAAATATCTGATCAGTCAAGGAGCTGAGGTTAATCAGGGAGATAATAATGGACGGGCTGCATTACACGATGCTGCTCAGAATGGTCATCTTAATGTCACCAAATATCTGATCAGTCAAAGAGCTGAGGTTAATCAGAGAGATAATGAGGGACGGGCTGCATTACACGATGCTGCTCAGAATGATCATCTTGATATCATCAAATATCTCTTCCGTCAAGGAGCTGAGGTGAATGGGGGAGATAATGATGGTAGGACTGCATTACACCATGCTGTTCAGAATGGTTACCTTGATGTTGTTGAAGTTCTTATGACAGAAGGAGCACGTTTTGACATGGGAGATATTCACGACCAGACACCTCTACACCTGTCCTTAATCCTCGGGTACGGAAGCATTGCTGATGTATTCATGGACCGTTCCAATTCCAAGGTAAGTATTTAAAAAAGCTCTTTATGTCAAATTAATCTACCTTGATGTTTTTAATAAATGCATGTAAAATAACAAGTACTGAAATTCAATTTAGAGCAAATAAGGCATTGGCTACCTATCGTAATTTTGTTTAGGCGTGACCGACTCTAGGCTGACTTACTGCCTTTGTATCACCACTAATATTTATACCAAAGCATAACTCCAGTTAGACCTCATTGCTTTCTCATAGACGTCATAGAAAAGTTACAAGTACTCGAATCATTTGATATGTATTATTGCCTTTCAATACTTAATTTATATTTTTGAATCCTCAAGTTTTCAGACTACATATTTTCTTATTTCCAGCTCGACCAGAATGATTTAACGGATATTCATCTTGCCATCAAATGCGGTCATACCTCTACTATTGAGAAGTTAGTTTCTGAGGGAGCTGATCTCAATATCCAGTCACCTGACGGACAGACGTGTCTCCATAGAGCCATTAAACTCTGCTATAACAGCAAGAAAATTGTGCAGGAAACGGACACACTAAGAAAGGTGAGTAACACCAAGGAGACCGCTACCAGACTGACGAGAGTCTGAAGAACAAAATACATTACGGCAAAATATTGGTTAGTTTTAGAGTCTACATGGAGTCGTTATGGCAGTGTGACTGACATATACTGCTTCTCTAATTTTTTTAGTGAATCCTAGAATCTGATACCCGTGATTGGTCCAAGAAAATGTGTACGTTGGTGTGTGGGCGTTTGTTTGTCTGCATGGGGAAGTTTAAAACGTAAGTATGGATTTACTTTTCTGTGGAATCCAATAGACAGCGTAAAATCATGCTTGCGATGCTCATCCGCATTGACTATTGATGGACGACACTATACTAAGAAAAACATATATATTTGTTTCATGTTATAGATCTCTGATGAGTATTACAAGGGCGAACTATCTCCTAAGAGGGCCTTGGTGTTTTATCTCCTAGAGAACGGAGCCAAGTTAGATGTGAAGGACGAGAGAGGCAATCTACCAATCCAATATGCCAAGGATGAAGCGGTCAAACAGATGATTTTGTCGAGGTGATTCTGTCATTTCATAAGGAATGTCAATGTCCCGGTCAATTTTCAGGCAAAAGATTGATAAAAGATCCTACTTTTTTGAGATTTGGTAATGGAATGACATTTTTTTAATAGCAATACCGTTGGCTATATTGTAGACTTTGATAGTTTATTTTAGAGAAGAGGTGTAAGTGGGAGAATTAGAATGTACATTCAACTTGGCAATTTATTGTGACTCTTAATTTGTTCAGGGTTTTAAATTCAGGCCTACAAGGTCGACTGCTCTATCTCTGTCTTCATTCCACTCTGATAAACGTTTTCTACCACGTCGTTTGGAAGATATATTCTAACTGTAGTTTTTTATATGTTTGTATTCTACTGCACTACCAGGTTCTAAGGTATGTATTATTTTCTCCTTTTTATACCTAATTTTAAGATTAGACCCTCATTTTAGAAGTAATAATTGTCCACGGTAGATGTCTGCCCAAATGACTTAACGACTTTTTACGTGTAATTAATTTCAGACTACCTTCTTTAGAGGAGATCAAGTCTTATCGAGGTAAGAACATCCTTCAAACACAAAGGCCCGAATTCACAAAGGAGGTTTGTCGACAAACCTCCTTTTGTTTCGCCGAACCTCCTTTTGTTCTTTACAAACCAGGTTTGTAAAAAACGCGTAAAAACGCGTCATATGACGTACGAAAACCAAGGTTTGTCGACAAACCTCCTTTGTGAATTCGGGCCAAACAGTTTTTTACAGCATAACAGCTCAATAAGTGCAACTGATATTTTTTTCTTATCCATTAAGTTCACGGATTAAAGTCTAGCGATGATTAGAACATGATATTTTAAGTTTTCCATCTGAAAGAAGAAAGAATTCAATATGTTATTGTCTGGGTAATTTACTGGCGCACACACGACTCATGCACTTACCCATTACGAGAACACTTCATCCGTATTTCTGTATGTAGACCCACCTTGTCTAAGGTTTACATCTGTGGTTCAAATACGAGAGATAAACGCTGAATGAGTCCCCAAAGGAAACAAAAAGATACATATATATAAAGAAGAAATATGGATAATGCATTATTGATTTATCATAGGCCCTTATTGAAATATTACAAACTTTTATCGAATATTAGAGTTTCGGTAATCAACACAACCCTTGGAATTGTGAATAAGGTCAATTCTTATTGTGGACAAGATCGAAATGAAAACTATATTAATATATATTATTGGTTTTTCATTCCAATGACTATCCCGATCTTCATACACATTTACTTTGTTGTTTATATCTGTTCATATTATCGTAGCATTTCCTTATGTTTTAATAAACAACAGATAAACCATCAACTATACCTGCGATCATCTCTGTTGGAGTCGAAAGCAATACCAGTCAGGAAATTGAACTTGAAGACCATGGCGTATCAATGTTTATACCTCCGGTGGCTGTCCATCAGAGTGACCGATGCAAGATCACCTTAACCCTCTTACGAGACCTTCCAAGTGTTGACATCCAAGATGATGAATCAGTGGCCTGCTACGGGATCAGATGTGACCCTCCAAACATGATCTTCCACCAACCTGTTAAGATCAGGATACCACACTCTACTTTGGCCATCAACCCTGATCAAGTGAAACCAGACATCGTTTCCCATGTATGGGATTCTGTAAACCGTAAGTCTATTTGGTCAAATGCTGAAACTGACTCGTTGTTAATGCTGGGTTACAGGAAAATCGATGCCCTGAGATCTCTTTGCATCAAACCAAGCAAAGCTCTTTGGGGACAACACCGTGAGTTGCGATAGGGATAAGTGGTATAGATTGGTCTTGTAACTCGTAAGGTCTCTGGTTCGATAACCAGTTGATTTGCTAGTGCTCTTTGGTAAGCCATTAAATACCAAGTAGAATGATTGTTTCCCTGTTGCTTTTTAACACATACTGCTTTCCTAACATTCGGGAAAAATAACAAAGCAAAATAAAACAATACAAATATATATTCTTAGTATACGATGCCCTGTTATGTTCTTCGTTTCCATTCTTCGTAATAGAATTAAAATAGACCATATGCACGCTAAAACTTGAGCCTTAAATCATGATTTCCGTATTAGTTCCAGTTTTAGATATCGTCGTCATCACAGCGCCATGACGTTGTGAGGAACAGTTTACAACTCCCATTTTTTCTGTAGAAATTGTCAATCAAGGAAAACGGGTGGAAGGGGAGAGTTAGTGTTTGTTAGGATGGCTTATTAAACTCAAGACAATTTGAAGTAATTATTCTTCCCAAGGACATCATTACTGACTGACGGCTCAATTGCGAAATAACACTTATTAAAACAAATGCATTTTGTTTTTGTTACCCACTTACAATAGATCTACCAAGAACATCCAGAATGCCATCATCCAGCTCGCCAGACGAACCACCATACTGCAGAGTGTACAAGAGACATTTTGAGCTGTACATTGGTCACTGTGCTGAGTGGTGGGTTCTTATTCCTCTTGAACAGCAGGTGATCCGACACCAACTTATGTGCACTCCATACATCCCGGATAAGATAGAAAGAGGCAAAGAGATTGAAGTTCATCTCCATATCCATGCGAACCTTCCTGGGATGGACGCGGTAAGCACAACGCACCGGCAGCATGAAAGAATCATAGCATTGTACAGTACAGCGTGAGTAAAAAAAAAAGTTTACACCGGAATATTGCTAATGATTTTAAGAATCATCTATAAACAGTAAATTTGTATACATGTTATGAAAAAGTGTTTTATCCCAAATCATTTAGTATCATTTTTGTGTGGTATGTGTTCACGCGTGGATGAACAGGAGGCATTGTTTGCGAGAGTGCAACAATCGACTTGCGCCAAAGTTGCTTATGTGATGTTGGAACAAAACAATTGGGATTTCGGTATTAATTCGGTCATTGCAGATACAAATAATATCATTTACAAAGTTAATCAAATATCGAATATCAGATATCAACGAACATTTGTGCGCGCTTTTGTGTCGGTGTGTGACTTTGCTTCTGCAAAAAGCATATGCAATGCATTGCATTAGATACATTCAATTCATTCTCTCACTCCGCTAATCCCAACATAATACATACTGTATGCATCACTTTGGCGCAAGTCGATTTTTGCACTCTAGCAAACAATGCCTCCTGTTTATCCAAGCGTGAACACATACCACACGAAAATGATACCAAATGATTTTGGATAAAACACTCTTTCATAAGATGTATAATAACTTACTGTTCATAAATGATTTAAAAAATAATAAGCAAATTTCTCAGTGTAAACTTTTTTATTGACTCACACGGTATAGCGCTGTAGATTGAGTCAAGCATTGAGAGGGCACTGGTATTAATGGCGAGGGCACCAACAATATTAGATGCAACTGTAGAAGAAATACGCAGGAAATAGATCATAGATTGAGGCAAGGGTGTAGGAGGGGTGGAGTTATCCTCGCTCCTTTCCACTCATTATAGAACCTTATTTCTCTTTGTCCCTCTGAACCGTTTTTCAAAACATGCTATGTTTACCTATTTTCTAAACATTTAAACCACTGTATATATGCATTCAGGCACTTCATCTATTACTCACGCCTGTTATAAGATGCCATATCGTTTTGCCGCCATTACAAATCCGCCAACTTTTAATTTTCATGGTGAAATTCTGAATCATATTTTGTCTCTCCAAATTTAGGTGTACTTTTATTTCATTTAGATATTACTTTTTATATGAATAAGATTCACTTTCTAACGTGTATTCAAAACACTTAAAACTATTTTCGCACAGGAAGTTCAAGAGGAGGAGAGAAAGCAGTCATACCACAAGATTCATCCCTCGGTTCCGATCAGTATTGCAACAAAGTCTGGTGACGTTCAAGTCACATGCTGTCGTCAGGATGAGATTGAGCAAAGGAAGGTAATAAAGTTGAAATAGCATTTTAGGTGATCTGCCGCGCAGCGTGAAAGCTAGAGCACCTATAGATTTCGTCAGATTCTATCTTTTTAGGTGGTCCGCCGGGTAGCATAGTAGAGCACCTATTGATTTCGTCAGAATCTAAAGCTTTTAATTTCTTCTTTATTTCTGTATGAAATATGTACGCGTCATATCTCATGAATGACATGGTTAATGACAACGAAGACAGTTTTTTAAATTACTAAAAGGTGACGTCTAGGCGTCATTTTGTTTATATTCACTATTAACCATATTGCCATATTGTCATTTTTAGAATGATATTTGTTATGCATAAACTTGACGTCACTTTTGGTCACACCCATGGGGGACAAAAACTTGTTCATATGCGTGTCACATGTAAGGTGTGTTTCTTTTTAACGACCAAATCTCCCTTTGTGTTTCTACATGTGTTACGTGTCGATCAAAGCGGCATATCACCTAATTCTTCTCCGTGACGAATTCAATGTATATTAATATTTTCTTGTTGTCCATTCGTCCTGCTTTATTGTCGACGCGGTATATCAAGAACCACTTCAAATATGAAGTACAATCTGGTGGTAGGGTGTATCACTATAGGAAGACAACCTATTTAGATTTTGGAGAGTAGGTCAAAGATCAAAGTTCATAGATGTAATAGTTTCTGAAAATACAGGTTTTAGTCTCGATAACAATATTTCAAGAACCACTAGAGGTATGAGCTTCAAACCTTCAAACCAAGTTTGTATCTCGATAGGAAGACGATCCCATTTAGAGGAGCTAGGTTATTGGTCAAAGGTCAATATAGTCATAAAATTTCATAGCACTTCTGGTGAAATGTTCGGAAGAGATAATTGCACGGACGGGCGATATATAATTTTCGACCGCACGCATTATTTCTTAAATAAATCTATCTTTAGTGGTTTATATTCTGTAAATCTCTTAGTTCTTTATTCATAGTACGGTTTTGAAATGTAACACCCTATACATATTTAGAATTTGTGGAATATTACTTGTTAGTGCCATTATGACTATTATTATTATTATTTCGGATGTAATTATTATTACTTTTATCATTTAGTTTATAATTATTATTATCATCTCCAGTTTGACCTTAATCATGATTACTATAATAAGAATAATACAATGTCATTATTTATAATAATAATTATTATTATTATCTGGACCAAAGGTTCTCTCTCTCTCAAAGATGTTCAAAGCAAACTGAAGCACAGCATTTTACTACCAGTGACTTCGCGTGAGGAGGATACAGACTTCCCAGTGACTATCACAGTTACACAGGCTGGAAAGGTCGGGGTTTCAATATCTGTCTCTTTCTTAATCAGATGCTCAGGTATATATAATCCCTTTCTATTTGATATGGGCATTATGATATTATCTGATGAAACCCAATTATAACTGAAACGTATTGTATGGGTTTAAAGCATTGTAAATAAACTAGAATAGCACGATCTTAAAGACTTTCAAATATTTAAACTTAGTAGTTCAATTTCCATGGTCTTGTTCGTCACCTATTAAAATTTGCAAACATACCAATGACATGAGAATGGTTTCTATACACATTATTACAATAAGGTACTGAAAATGCGCTCGAGTAGATTGCTCTGCAATCGTGCTGAATTGACTCCAATAAAAATCATGTCCAAGTACTTAAAATCCCTTTAAAACTTAAACTACAAATAATTTAAGTGAAACGAAACGTTTGAAAAGAGATGAACACATAAACATAGCCTCGTTAATACCATAGGTTGAGCGGTAGCATATATATTCATGGAGGTTTATTGTGAGTGTACGCTGCCACGTTGGTCAGTACATTTTGAAATATTGCCACTAAAAGTGAACACCCGTCGAAATACATAATCGTCTTTATATCGATATATTTTGCAGGATTTTTTAGTACTTTCGTCAAACGAAAGTTTAGAACATGATCAGCTAAGTTACTTGTTAAGTCAGTACACATCAAAACAACGATTGCTATCTTTTCCCAATTTCGTTTCTATCACAGATGGACTGAAGTATGAACCTTCTTTAGAACCCGCTTCCTTCGTTCGGTAAGCTTGCATTTGGACCAATATTATTACTATACAGTAGGCTTTCGGATGCACCATGTGAGAGAGAGAGAGGGAGGATTGAGGAGTCCTGAAAAGGACTCTCGGTAATCTTTCTTGAGGGTGTGTAGTCATGAAAAGGACTGTTGGTGTAGTCTTGAAAATACTGTTGGTTATCTTTCTTAGCTTATAGTTCTAAGGAGAACTATAGCGCCGATCGGAGAGGATGGGTGGCGGGAGTGGCTCGACGTTTCGAACAGGTTGACTATCCGTCGTCAGGAGTGGCGACGGATAGTCAACTTTCATACCGATGTTTTATCAGTAGCATCATGGGGAGGGGGAGGGAAGGTGATTTCTGTCTTAAATTCGAAATGACTTTCTTCACAACTCTTCACCCAATTCTCAATTATCCACTGAGCGAGTTCTGGGCAGCAGCTGACATGGACATTGAATAGGAAATATCATCGGGGGGGGGGGGTGGTGTCGCTTCAGCAAAGCAAGAGACCCAAAATGTTGTATTCTTCCTGGGTATTCGACACCATTCGGGTGTTTCCCCAATAATATGTGTTCTGAATCACCCGAAGTGGAGTTTACTTGTTTAACGAACAGTTCTTATGTCATACACTGCGCCCTCGGTCAATCACCCCATCGTCACAAAATTCCCCCTTCCACGAGATTTTGGAGGCAAGCTGGAGGAAGTTTTGGGTCTGTTACTGAGACATTATTTCATTCGAACGACTTTGGTGTCAGCGAAATAGAGAGGCAATAGACACAGAAACATGCGAGTGCTTGGCTTTATGTGTACTTAGAAGTCAGTAACATTATCCCGCAGTTTAAATAAAATTGTTGTATTTCCATTTTTAGCATTTTACTAAATTAAAGATGGTTTCTAAAGTGAGTTCTATTAATATTATTATCATTAGAAGTATTATGGAAATTTCTCCCAGGAAGCATTACATTTGTTTTAAAGTAGTAGTATGTTCATTATTATCATTAAAAATACAATTACAGTGGTTGTGGTGAATTACAATTATTATTATTTTTAGTATTAAAACTAATTAACCGCGATATCTCTATTTCGCTTTTCAGGGTAGTTGAAGAAGTCTCGAGGAGTGACCTCCAAGACATCGATGTCCACAACATTGCTGAAAAGATGACAGTGGATCAGTTTTATGATCTGGGGATAGCTCTCGGTTTCCGAATTCAACAGTTGGATGTCATAGAATACAGGAGGTTCAGAGACAGGCAGCTGGCCATCTATGACATGTTGGTAACATGGCGACAGGCACAACCCTCTGGTCGAGAAGCAAAGGAAACGTTACTTTCACTCATGAAATCTTTAGACTCACCTGCTGAGGAGATGGAGATGACAGGTTTGCCGATGACAATCTAACTTTCTTTCAACCCTTCGTTTCCATTTTATTTTGTTACGAGATTAACGTTATTTTCTGTGGTGTTGATAGGATTAAGAAGATTAAAATATGGTACAAAAAAAGGAAATACAAGGATGTGATTAGGTGAATATATTCCAAAAGGGTACAACAACAACAACAAAAATCAAATGTCTACCAGAAGGTAATCAACCAAACAAACAAAGAAACAAATGAAAAGCCACCAAGGTTCGAATAAATATTGTGTATGAATGCATAACGATCTCTTGAAATATTTCGTTTTAATGATAATAATATTCAGCTTTTATCAAGCGCTTAATATATCTCGGACGTCTCTAAGCGCTTTACATATACATTATTACCTCGGTCATTGGATTCAGTGCTTGCCCGCACACGCTGTGTGCACAATCTCTACTCCCTGGGAAGCATTCCAGCCACTAGGCGTGACACGACGCTCAAAAACTGTTTGACCAACAATAGAGTACCGAAGCTGTGACATCATACAAATCTACTTTTAGGATTTCTCAATTTTTTCTTCATTTTCCGAAAGAACATCAAAAATAATGTCCAAATGTCGAAAACCAATTAAATACATTAAGTATTGGCTAAGATATGACCATCTGAATAGATAGATTTCCTGTAGGAACTTCGTGTTATTTTGCTCTGGTTCATAACATTACGAAAATCGTGATGGATTAGAGAGACAGAGATCGACAAGAGAGAAAGTGCAACTTTAAACCAACCGTGCGATCATCAGCTATCAAGTTAAAATAGTCTTCTCTTAATATCATTATATCCTTACATGTTTATCGTCTCCTTTCACTTGATCTACGTGCATCAGACTTCGGTTCTGCTGGGTGAGTCTATGATTCGCATACCATTGTCTCTGCATGTATCTAAGTACATTATACAATTAAATAATGCAATAACTTTGAATTAAATACATGTAGAAGTGGTATCGAATATTCTAATATTCATCAAACGAATATGGTGAGCTTACCGCAAGATTGCATAAACAAGAAAATTAATAACGTTAGAAATGTCGCTGAATGAAAAGAAGAATAAAGAAAAAAAAGGAATGAAAGAAAGAAGAGGGGGAGAAGAAAGACAAAGAGGAAATGAATGTATACATGCGTACGCGCACACACACACACATACACACACACTTATATATAAATATATGTATACAAATTTCTTTCCCCTGGTGCAAATGATATTTCTTCCATCCAACAGTGAAGTCCCGGACAACACACTTCTTGCATTCTCCCGAAAGATCAAGCCAGAGCAGTTCTTCGAGTTCGGCGGAAAACTGGGTCTCAGTAATACAGAGCTAGAACACATACAGCACCGGACACTGTCTAACAGGAAGGACGCTAACATCCAAATGCTTTCCAAGTGGAAAGCATCTCAAACATCAAGGAATAAAGCAATTCAGACTTTAAAACTTGTTTGGGAGTCTGTCAATGCAGTACCAAAGGTGGAGACCCTAGAATATTTAGGTAAAAGGATTACAAATATGCCTAATTCAATACTATGTCAAACCAATTTCAGTTTTTCTTTTATTTAACCAAGTCTTCATGGAAGAAAATGTTCACAGGATAGGAAGAATCATGCATACTCTTGTGGATGAGCACGATTTATCCCTATACATGAAACTGCGAATGCAGAACAGAAGGTCACATGTACTAGTTCTAAAGGACTACTGCCACAAAGGCAATAACATGGCATTGGAAGGTCACTTCTGACGTTCTAACACCATTTTTTAGAACAAAATATTTCTGTAGATGTCAGAAATAACTAAGATGTTCCTTTTTAGATTATATGTAAACGTTTAGGTAATGACGTGTTTTCATTTTCAGACGAAGATAGTTCTCGTAAACTAGAAGAAGCTCCTGTGACAAAGACAAAACTAAGTGAACCTAGTTGTGGGCCTGAAGATATGGAAATCATTGGAACTTCCGATTTCGGTAAGTGGATGCACAATTAATAGCTCCATGCATGTTTGTGTCATATTAAAAATGTTTGACCTCCATGTACTATTAATGTCATCATAACAGTGATATTGGAACTGTGTAAAAAAATAGAGTATAGTTGATAATCTTCTTTTACCAATTAGTGCAAAAGCAAATCGGTAGGGATATCCAATGTTATGCCTGAAACCAAACTCAGGCTATACAAACATACAAAACAAGTTTCAGTAAATAAAATGTTTTTTAAAATGTTCTATTTTAAATCAACGAATTATATTTCTTCAAAGATGATGTTCCCATTGAAACTCCGGGAAAACATGCGGAGTCTCTTCACGACCTTGACCGACATGGTGGAGTACCAAACACAAAAGAGCTTTGCAGCGTCGCTCTTCCTGTGAAAAGTCTGTCATTAGCATGTTCACTTGGGAAAGCTCTCCATGTAAATGATGACCGTATGGTTGGATTCATCGATCTACCCAGTTCGTCAGTACTTCATAAGATCGCACAACAGCTCGTAGACAGTTGGTGGAATGGTTTGAAAGAGGTAGAAAAAGAAGATAAGTTTGCTAAGCTTCTGTCTGAGTTCCACATCTCAGATGTCAAAACAGGTTCGTTGGAATCATAAGGCGGGGTTTAATCGTAACCGTGGTATCAGTTTTACCAGTATCAGTTTTACCCTTTCAAAGAAAAGTTTCAACTTCAAACTTGTATTTCAGTACTTTTTCTCATTCCATTAATTCCATTTATTTTAGCGTTAAGACAATAGGTTGTGCAGAAGTACAGAAGATTTTCAGTATGTAAAGATTTGTATTAACATGTATTTGAACATCATTAACACTATATTTTGTTTCTTTACCAGTCCCTGCATTTGTCAATGTTTTACAGTTTATTTCACTATTTTAGACGCCGTTGATGTCCTTATTCATCACCATCATTATGGTATTTGCTTAAGGACGGATATTTTTCTTTCCTTCCTATTGACAATTTTGTTTTCATTGTCCACAGGCCGTGAGGGAATCTCAAAAGCCATTGGATCCAGGAAAGACCTAGTGGACTTGTGTCATCGCCTGAATGTCAAACCTTCTGGCGTCTTGCAGATCATGAGCAAATGTGTGACCTTCCCGCCTGACATGATTGGCCGAAGTACTCTGAACATGCTTAAAGAATGGGTACACCAAGGTGGGACTAGGGCGAGGCTTCTGGAAGTTGCTCAGGCTTTTCGTTTCAACGAAGCAGCAGTCAAGATAGCAGAAGGTAATGCCACTTCATGTACAACTCCACTGTGTTTCACATCACATCAAATGGTGTACATTTACCTGATCACTAGAATAATAATTGCTTTTGACAGATTCATTTGTTTACTTACTATTGCCTGCCTATAAAAGAAACCACATTCCCCCTTCAGAGAAAAATCATAAAATCGGCAGGAGTCTGAGTACTTTTAACTTCTATTAAGAAGGAGTAATCACGAGCCGTGCTGCTAGATGAAGAAACACGCAATGGAATGGAAATTCTCCCTTTAACAGTTATTATTCAGTCCTAAGAAACGCAGCATACCAGCACATTAACTTGTTTGAATTCTACAGGAGCATCTCAGATATTTTTCCTAGGATTTATATCGTTTAAAACATTGAACAAAATTTAATCAATATACAGCACAGTTCTAAGAAAATAAATTTGGAAAAGCGTCATTATCATTTTCTTTTTTATAACTTGAATCAAATCATGACTCAAGATGATTGTAACATAATTTACACCCTTGTTTCCCAATCACTTTACAGTAAAAACACTCAAAAGGAAATGCCTTGGAAATAACTATAAACAAACATTGGCACAACATAATATTTCTGTGTGTATGAACTGTAGTTTATTCGTTTCATGGTTCATATGGGGATTATCAATGACTTGTTTTCTTCTTATCCTCCTTAGCCATGAAATGCCAACCAAGCTATATGCCTTTCATCTCGCATGGCATCATTGATCACAAGGGTGGAGAACTGACCATTGATGAACTTGGTATTGCTGTATCTATCCCTGAAGGAGCTATACCTAAAGGGATGAGATCAGTTGTAACTATTCGCGTCCCAACTTACGATACTCCAAGGCTTCCTGTACGGAAGGGTGAGGTAGTCATTACTCCAGTCATCGAAGGTTCTCTGACACAAGAATTGCTCAAGCCTGCCACGGTGGTATTACCACACTGCACCAATCAACATGAACTTAAAGACGACTCTTCTGTTATCCTGTACACACAAACGGGACCAGGTACAAAGTTATCGACATATTTTGATTCTGTTCTCATGAAGTAAAAAGTAAACTCAAAACTTGATATTTGAATCCTTATAACTTGACAAATGAGGCCGAGGTGAATAACTGATTTCAAATCCCACATACAATAATCTTCCCGTTATGAGAATCTATTTTATGAATGAAAAGCTGGTGGAAGTTAATATTGAATGATTTCTCAATAATAAAGAAAAAGTACCATTATGCAATTTGAATCAACTCGCTAAACAAAGCTTGAATTATGTCAACTATCAGAACATGAACTGAGTTGAAATTAATTTCTACTCTACTAATAATCAGTATATTATCAGGAAGTAAGACAGTATAATATTTTCTTTAATTCAAAGGAACGTTCGGTCGTAGGATCTTGACTCCGTCACAAATCTTCAAAGGTAAGATCAAGTTTAGTACACGTCATCTTCAAGTCTGGGCTCTGTCATCGACTGATCTTCACGGACTCCAGTTGAGATGTGTAGTCTTCCAGCCTCTCTTCATGACTCCTACAGAGAAACCAACTCTACGTGCATACATACTTCATCCATATAAGAACTATATAGAGGTATTTATATCATATGATATATATCTATCTTTTGCGGACACCATTTGATACTGTAATTATTAAAAGGTGCCCCTGCGGACCGTTAAACTTATGAAAGGCCTATGGTAATACTTTACAATTGACCAAATAACATCTCATTAGAATTCATTTAGACTATGAGACTTTAATATCAGAGCATAATTAAAAAAAAGAGAGGAAGGCAAGGAAGAGAAAGTGATAAACCTTGGGGAGGAGAAAAAGTGAGGGGGAAAGGTTAGGAGGGAGTGAAGTGGGAAGGAATGTAGTAGGAGGAATGGGATGGGTAACAAATCAACAAAAAGGAGGAAAAGTAGGCAGGATAGGGGTCAGGTGAAGCAGATGATGGAAGTAAGAAGGAGGGTTGAGGAAGGGGCGGAGGGTTGTACGGATGGAGAAGTAAATTGAAAGAACTTAATCAAGTGGATACTAGAAGATTAACCTATCAATATGAAACAGATATGTAACATATTTGGGGACCGAACTTTTAATTGATACTACTAATTTTATTTGGAAAAGGTAATGCGTATGTTGTTTTTAGCAGGCCTACAATAGCTGAGGCTAATCATCTGCGTGAAATTTAATCATTTTTTATTATCTAGATTTGGGTTATATTTATCATATTCTAGACTATAACGAGGACAGAGAAGAGTTCTTCTGTGCCCTACTGCCAAGTCCTGAAGGAATTCACATTCTCTATAGAGTCAAAAGCAAGCGACCTAAAGGTTAAGTTCGACGACGGGACGAAAAGAAACGAAAGAACGGTGAATATGCCTGAATTGTATTAGATTATTTGTTGAAGAATAATGGTGAACCAAGGAGTTAAAATTTAACTCCTTGGATGTAAATGCTGGAAGATGATTTTGTTTTATTTCTTTTACAGACTTACTTCTTTTTCAGATATACGTGTATTTTTCAAGACGACATCTATATATGACCTTTTTTGTATTCAATGCAATAATCAACTAGCTTGAAGTTACATTTCTTTCTTAAACTGTCGTTGAATGATCAAACATCTTCCTAATTCGAAATCAGAGGATCTCCCAATATCAAATATGTTCCCTCGATATTTACTCTCCTTCACACAAACACATGCACATGCTGATATAATGTTGTCATGTCTATTTTCATTATCAGTATTATATCATTATTATATCATTATTATTAAAACAAAATGTTGGTGTTGTTGTTATCGTTCTTGCTGTTATCAAAATTATCGTTATCATTATTAATATTACCATAGTTGTTATTATTCATATGATATTCAAAACAAGATTCCCATCAAGAGTATAATAGATGGAAAGTGCAGCCCTCTGAACTTCGAGCTTCAGTTCTCTCCAGAAGAGAAAGGAAAGAAGACCGGCCACATCGACATACTACAAGGGTCTGCAACACGTGCAGAAAGAGGGTTTAACATTTCAATAGAAGGTAAGCTACATTATCAGGAAGTAGGATATTATGTGTCTTTTACTTCATCACATGTAGCCAGGTACTTCAAAGACCTTACGTCGATCATTTCTGTAACAAGTTACACCAAAGACCTTACGTCGGTCATTTCTAAACAGGTTACACCAAAGACCTTACGTCGGTCATTTCTGTAACAAGTTTCATCAAAGACCTTACATAAGTCATTTATTGTAACTGAATTTAGTTACCTCAAAGACATTTATGTATCCTGTTATTGTAATGCATTGTAGCCATTAATCTCAAAGACTGTACATGAGTCATTTGTGTAAATAGTTACCTCAAATTCCCTGCATATCTTAAATCTCTTTCTAACAAATATTTTTTTTATTCTCGTATCTTCTGTATTAAATATTGGTCTTTGCGAAGAACAAAAACTCTTCTATTTTTTCAAACAAAACCATTGAATTATGATTAACTATCTCTCAAAACACATCTATTTATATTTAATACTGAAAAAATAAACCCCTTTGTCCCATTGTATTTCTTTTTACCCGTTTACTACAGATGAACCGGATTATGCAGTCGATCAGACAGATTCGTAAGTAAACGAATATCATCATACATCATCTATGTCCTATAGCTTGGAGGCCATTGGGGAGACAACCAAATTGACCTTGATACATAGCTTCTCCATAACTTCCTGTCTTCAGCTGTTCCATTAGCTGCTAAAATGACATTCCCATCACCTGCTTGATGTTATCAGTCCATGTCCTAGTTAGTCTGTCCTTCTTTCTTCTCCCATCAGTTCATCCTTGCCAGATAGTGTTTGTCAAGCTATTCTTCAATCTAGTTTCATGCCCAAACCACTGTAGCTGTCTTCTTCTCAAATTGGTGAGGTGACCGTGCTCCCCCATATAACTCTCCATTATTCCTTTCACTTTCGTGTTGGACGTTTGCGAAGTGTAGCGGATATGCAAAAGCCTTCTCATACAATTCATCTTAAAAGCATTGATTCACGGGGTAGTGAGCACTTTTTGTTTTGTTTTTTGCCCGGGGGGGCGGGACCGTAGGTGAGCACTAAACGGTATTTGCTACATTAATTGAGGGTAACCTTTTTGAGAGTGGTGTGATGTGGCCATCCACTGGTCCTCCACACCTTGTTGAAAAGCTTGTTGTATGCCTCAATCATGGGTTGCCCTTCAAATTTCAGGAATTTTGTAGGGAAATGTTTATACCCCGTCATTTTCCAACTTTTGAGCTTTTAACAGCTTCTTCAACCTCAGACTGAAGAATTGGTGGGCATTTCTTCTGCTCAGTAACTGTGACTGACCTCAGCATATCTAGCAGTTTTTGATCTGTTAGTTGGTAATCAGTGAGTTCTTTGCATTATCCCTTCCACCTACCCCGAACAGCCTGCTTTTATGTTATCATGATGGTAGGAATTGACAATTCTTCATGCAGTCCCTTGTCATGTGGGGTGTGTATCAACTCCCACCTCGGCATTCTAGTCACCAATGACCAACACATGTCGTTCTTTTGGATCTCCTTCACCTATCCAAGAAGCTCTTGGAAAAACGCCATCGTCATCATCATTAATTGTAGCAAAGTCCATGAAGATACTACTTTTCAAACTCTGATTCAGAATCTTGGCAGAGATCCAAATCACGATATTTTTCAGAAGCGACATTAGACTAAGCATTTAAGCGTGACCCGTCACTTGAAAGTTCTAAATACCTGCAATTAATTTCGCTACTGGTCAACAACCAGTTTTTGTCAGTCTATTCTTGATGTATGGGTGTGATGATGGTGATTTATCTAAGAACAAGGATTCCTGTCAATATTTTACAAAGGAATCTACCAAACCTCTATCAGCTTGTATTTGTTTATTTATATATTTGTATACGTTTTCATCCCCCCACCCCGCCAAATGTTATGAATTTACTTACCTACAGGAAGGGGCGATTGCAGTATGTATCCAACAATCTCCTCGAGAGCCTTGCCGGTGTGATCCATACACCAAAGGACTTAAAGTCCCTTGGATACCAGCTTGGCTTCTCTTCTTCATCTATGGAGAAATACAACGACCCAGTAGACGTTTCATTTGATAGTGTCTCGAGGTCAGGCTTTGGTGAGATGCTACGTGACTGGAGACGGCAGGTTCGACCTAGTGAGCAGGTAGATGAACTTCATTTGGCATTGCAAAATGCTGGGTTAGGCCATACAGCTGAGGTCATCCTACCCGACCGTAAGTACTATATTCTACTCTTTCGAGCTTTGTAAGACTGATCAGTTACCTTTTATTGTCAGAAAGATTGACTAAAGGCACTAAGAAAAGCTTTTCAGCTTTAGTATTTAGCGAAACGATCTGGTATGTGCTCGAACTATTTCGAAATACTGCCCAAGCATTGTAGGAATTAACCCATTTAATACACACCAAAAGGAACATAAGGCCAAATTAAAACAAAACATGTTTAGCGTCCTACTTTTTTGAAAAATAGGAAGTAGGCCCTTTTTTTTCTTTTCAAAATGGCCGCTCGATACATTTTCCCCGACAGTCGGGCTATTTTTCAAAATGGCCGGCAGCATTTTTAATTTTTTTTTAAACTTCAGGGAAAGATCATTTTAGCAGTATGTTTTTCTTGTTTTTTTTTAATTAATGATAATAATAATTGAAAAAATGAAGGGAAAAAAAATCCCCCCCCCCAAAAAAAAAAGAAAAGCAGGCGGCCCTCAAAAAGAAAGCGAGCGGGGACGGTAAACATGATTTTTAATGGCCTCATAAGTTAGGGGAAACAAAGTTGTCCTATATTGTAAGCACCCAGCAAGATTATACCCTTGAACCTCCAACATGACAGTCCAGTATGTAACGCTAACTTTGATTGACCATTTGGCGTCTCATAGTCCAGAGCTATCTATCAATGTACCACAATGCTCCCAAATCCCTTGGGGTGCTACCTTAAACAATTGGTGTAACGACAACAGCTACAAAAGTGATTCTCCGTTACCACTTGTCCTATATTGTAAGCACCCAGCAAGATTATACCCTTGAACCTCCAACATGACAGTCCAGTCCAGGATTAAATTTCAAAAAAAGAATTCCTGATTTCTCTTCTTCCCGTATTGTTGTGTAAACCATAGTGAGTTGCATATCTAAATATTCGAATTATTGAATTTCCTTCTTTTCTTCCCCCATTTTGTTTTGTGAACCTTCAGTTTGTAACACGTAAAAACACTCAAACTATTTAATTATCTTTCTTCTTTATTTTATTTTAGTAAGTAGCAGGAAGCGCTTTGCACAAGTCAGAGAAGTATGGGAGTCGAAGAAGTAGGCAAACCTGTCACTGAAATGTGTATTATCATCCCACGACCAAGAAGGGAATCACTTGATGTGTGCATTCAGCTGAGAAGCATACGTCTTGAGAAACATGTATTCTAGGCCTGCATGATTCTCAGCCCGAATCTCGAACGTGCTGTTTCTTCCCTACCCAATGCTGCTTGGAGTCATGTTTAAGAAGGCGGTTTAGATATGGTATTAAGAGTGGTAAACATTTATAGTGTTTGTGTGTGGGGTGGGTGTGGTGTAAAATAACTTCTCGTTTGGAACACGCGCTTGGTAGGCCTTAGTCCTTTTCCTTCCATCCTTCCCTCAATGATATCTAACAGAATTCATCATGTCCAATTCATTTCTTCTGTCATTCATGTTGTTGCAAACTTCCGCTCCTCCCGGCCACTCTGTGTAGAACTTTACCATTTGTCACTTTATCCACCCAACTAATATCTTTGCCATTTCAAAACCTTGAAACGTTTTGAGTTCTGCCGACTTCAGAGTTCATGCCTCTGATCCCGATGCAGCAGCAAACTCCTAAATAAATACATATGACAATAATTGCAGAAAGTATTTTCTTTATTGCAAGGTTGTATGAATACTGTTTCAGTTCTATTGCTACAATAATCATTTACATATGATATATTAAGAATATATTGTGTATTGTAAGGTTGTATGACAATGTACATGAGATAATAATTGCAGTCAATGTTTCCTTTATTGTTAGGTTGTATAAACACTGTTTCAATTCTGTCGCTGCAATAATCCTATATATTTGATGATAATTACAAATATATTTTGTTTTATTGTAAGTTCGTATGAATCATGTACATAAGATATTACTTACAGAAGTAGTTTTCTTTATTGTATGAATACTGTTTGAGTTTTATTGCTACAATAATCATTTACATGATAATAATATCATAAGTTATTGTTTGTTGTAAGGCTGTATGAATACTGTTTCAGTTCGATTGCTCGATAATCATTTACATATATGACAATAATATCAGAAGATATTGTTTACTGTAAGAATGTTTTAATACTGTTTCAAAAATGGATGTACATAAGATAATAATCGCAGTCAATATTTCCTTCATTTTAAGGTGGTATAAATACTGTTTCAATTCTGTTACTACAATAATTATATGCATAAGAACGTAATTAAATAATTGTATAAAGGCTGTTTCAGTTCTATTGCTACATTTACATATGATGATAATTACAAAAGTTATTTTTCTATATTGTAAGGCTGTATGAATATACTGTTTTAGTTTCGTTTCCTCAACGATCATTTACATGTGATAATAATTGCAGTATATTTGTCTTTATTATAAGTTTGTATGGATACTCTTCTAGTTCTGTTGCTTTGCTAGAATATAATAAACATACGATAATATTTCCAGAAGATGCTTTCTTAACTGTAAGGTTGTATGAATACCGTTTCAATTCTATTGCTACAATAATCCTATATATGTGATAATAATTACAGAATATATTTTGTTTTATTGTAAGTTCATATAAAAACTGTTTCGGTTCAGTTGCTAAAATAATCATGTACATAATATATTACTTACAGAAGAAGTTTTCTTTATTGTATGAAAACTGTTTAAGTTATATTGCTACAATGATATTGCACATGAATCAATAAAGACAATAAGTAAATAAAAAAAACTGTTCAGTTTATAATGCTAGAATAATCACGTAAATAAGACAATAATGACAACTATAAGGCTATATGACTAGTTGCTGCTTGTTGCCGAGAGTTGCCGAGAGTCCTTTTGCAGGACTCCTCAATCCTCCCTCTCTCTCTCACATGGTGCACCCGCAAGCCTACTGTATATATGAGTAGTGTTTAATATGTATTGCTATAATGGTCATGTACATAAGACAATAATTACAGAAGATATTTTCTTCATTGCGAGGTTTTATGAGGACTGCTCATTTATTTGACTACAACGTACACTTGGTTATCACATAAATGAATATATGCGTTATTATAAGGCTGTATGAAAACGGTTCTACTTGTATGGCTACAACAATCATGTATACAAAGTAGCTTAATAATTTCAGAGGATATGTTCTTTATTGCAAGGTTGTTTGAAAATGTTGCTGTTCTGTTGCTACAATAATCATATGCATAGTATAATAATTACAGAAGATATTTTGTTAGTTGTATGAATTTTATTTTTTAGCTCTCTTGCAACAATAATCGTACACATATGATAATAATTACAAAAAATATGTTCGTCATTGCAAGGTTTTCATTTCTTTACTACAATGATCATGTACATTAAGTAATAACTTAAATGAATATATGCGTTCTTATAAATTTGTATGAAAACGGTTCTAGTTGTATGGCTACAACAATCATGTATATAAGATAGCATAATAATTTCCGATGGTATATTGTTTTATTGCAAGGTTGTTTGAAAACCTTTTCAGCTCTATTGCTACAATGATCATGTACATGAGGTAATAACTTAACGACTATAAGGTTTGTATGAACAATTAGTTGTATTACCACAACTATCATGTATATAAACCAATATAAGCAGAGGATATTTTCGTGTTATTGTAAGTTTGTATAAAACTGTTTCTGTTGTATTGCTACAAATCATATAAATACAAGTTAAGGTTTGTGGTATTGGCTATCTTAGATTTGTGAGTTTCTTTAATTCATTATATATAGGTGGAAGAATATCATTGGAGCAATGATACTATAAGATGACTACTCATAAAGATTCTATCATATTCAAAATATGACAACGTAACTTTATTCTTTGAACTAGGTATTGATATATATATATATATATATATATATATATATATATATATATCTGCCTTCCTATATGGTCACTTGTGTGTGCGATGTTTTTGTTTTAATTGTATATAGTTTTCAGCAAGATTGCATTTCGTAATGATTTGTATCTGTATTCTTTTCCTTGTAATAAGTGTATTCCAGTTGATATAGTCTTTGATGGTTTAAGTCTCCTAAAGGAATCGATATTAGTATATATTTTGTTTACTTTTTGTGTTGCTTGTATTCAACATATTGTGGTTTATCTATATTCATTTCTATTTGCTTCGTAATTTTAATTGCTGCCTTGAATGTTTTTATTTTCTAACGTTTCTAACGTGCATGTCTCTAATGTCGATTTTGTTTGTAAAGGTTCAGATACCAAGACGTACAGCAGTACTAAAACCAATCGTATTTGAATACATTTGGAAGAAAAAAATAGATTTCTAAACCTGAAAATTAATCATCCCCGTGTATATTACGATGAACACAATCAGCATTTTCCAATGACTTCCGGGCAGTTTATTTTACAATGCACTTACCAAAGCAAGTACTTGAATTTATTTTTTATGATGTATCAACGTTGTTTATGTTGAATTGCTACAATATTCAAGTTGAAACAAGAATATATATATATGTTTATTAAACCAAGATAAGGTTGAAGAAAAGGCGTTACGGGAGTGCTGTATTAATGATCATGTACATAACACGATATATACAGTAATTGCGGTTTCGCCGTGACAATTTATTATTAATGGTGTTGTACTAAAGTAACGGATATAGCAAAAGTTTTGCGCATAATAAATTATCACGCATAGCCGCGATCAGAGGGAGCTGTCAAATTGACCCCCCATCCGAAGTGTAAACCGCCTTTTAAAAAGTCAAGTTGGAATTAGGCTGCTAATACATATCATATTACCTTTACTTTTTTAAAGGCGCAATTATCCATCTACCTAATCACTAATTTCAGAATCGGGTTGAGGCTTCGAAGTTAATTTACCCATACATTTTGTTCTTACGTTTGCCTAATTAAAATTAGACAACAAATCAACGACCTTCAGCAAAACAGAATGGGAACTTTTAACCTCCCATAAACGTTTAAATGCCCTCAAAATGTATAGCGGGTGTTTCGAGAGCATTGCGGTGATGCTGAATCCGGACAAGGTAAATTTTGACAGTGATGTTGAATCTCGCTACGAAAGAAAAGCCATCTTTATTTGCAATACTAGTTTTATGGTTCACAAAAATGTATATATCAGCTCTGATTCAGGTAGCAAAGTTTCTTTTTGTGCTTGGATATTTGTGTTTTTGAGGTTTCTATTTATATATTGTACATGCTCATATGGTCATGGCTTTGTTTTGTTCTGATTCTGATACTCAATTTTATTTAATGTATTGCGACTATATGCACATATCTAATTACAATTTTGCTTAGTTTTCTTGATTTTTTTTTTTTTTTTTTTTTTGAGGGGGGGGGGGGGGGGGTATCTAGGATATTTAGTTCTGCTTTGTTTGCTTTGGTGACATTCTTATCAAGCCAGGATTTGTTTTCAACAAATTATTTAAAATTTAATTTCAAGTTGCATCCTACTGTTCGATACGCTAGAAATTGCCCATTAAGCCTTACTTTCAAAATGACCGACGTCGTTGGTGTAATTTAAAAGAAGTCAATACATGTATATTGGCTCTACATTTGTTAATACAAAATAAAAATTGTCTGTTAATATCTTTGTACGTTGTGTATCACGTTTTCCATCGTGAATAATATAAAATATTAGCCGTGCGTTGTTAATAATAAAACATAACCTGGGATATTTCCCCCTTTTCTACTTTTCTATACTTTTGTTGTAGTGTCTATACCATTGTATATACTATTGCTTCCTTGGTTAATAATCATGATTGTTAATAAAGTGATATGGAAACTAAAAGCAACTGTCCAAGTCAAAATATTAATAAGATTCATCGCAGCGCCAAGTAAGATATTGGTACTAAACCTTGTCCTAAGCTCAAACATGAATTATGTTTTATCAGCATAGGCAAGGGATCAAATCACTGGACTATGTTCAGAGGCGCAGATACAAGGGGCTTGGGGCAGGTGGCCCTTCCATAATTATGTCAGACTTAATTAGGGCAGGTAACAACACAATAGAATATGTTCAGAGGCGGAGATACAAGGGGCTTGGGGCAGGTTGCCCTTCCATATGTCAGTCTTGATTAGCGTAGGTAACAACACAATAGAAATGACGCCGCATGTACAATGACTGCATCCATTACTACCAGTGCTATGCCACTTTTAAAATACATACTCCATTGTGAATGGGACCTTATCAGGCCATCACCGGGATCATTTCCTAGATACACTACATACTTGAACGACACAAAATCTGATATTTTTTATTCCGAACTTTCAACTGAGCTTTTGGGATCTAAAATTGCCAAGGAGGGAGGAGGGGTGGGGGGCAACAAAAGCATGGGCATATTTTTCTTTTTTGTACTAGGTGTGTTCTTATGATGTATACACTGGAAATACCCCCCCCCCCCCCCGATACCACACAAGAAATAATACAATGCCGAGTGAGTCGTAAGAATGGGGTCTAGTTATGCCAGATGGGTTTTATTTTATCTCCAATGATACAGCTGCTACTTAATTATTATTAAACACTCTCTAATATCAATATTCACGAAGATTTGACAATACATCCGTACAAGACACACTCACTAGGCACATAAGGACAACTCAATAAAGACAATTTGATGTTAAATAGAATCAGATACAAAAATGTAATGACTATCTAGTACTACGATTGAGGAGTAATGGACTATTCATCCAAGTCTGCAAAGGTTCCACTATAAATATATTTATTAATTCATGACAGAATGAGAAACGTTATAATTAACAACAAATACACGAGTAGACTATAACTCAAAACAAATGTAAACGAAAGTAATCACAAGGGTACAAAGCGGAAGCATAAATAATATTCCAGAGCTAGGCAAGTGAAACAAAAAAGACATGAATTCATTGAAATCATGGATTGATGTGCTAACTAAAAGTTCCTAAAGAAATAAAAAGTAATCATAATTTCTTCAACAGATACAAAATCCAAGAGCTAGGCGAGTGAATAAACAAGATATGTCTTCATAGAAATTAAATTTATACGCTAGCTGCAAATTCCTGAACAAATAATAAGTAATTTCTTAAACAAATGTAAACTATTCGCATTCCTAAAGCTTAAAAACTATCAAATCTTTGGCACCAAACTCAATATCAAATAAAAATTCTTCAGCTTTCTATTATGCTGCCTTTATATAATAATGATATTGTATATAATTTGATTTATACTAAAAATTACACATATAGAGCGAGCTAAACAAAATGAAAATGATAAAGTGAGAATGATCGTAATTTCTTACATCTAAATTTCTTTTGATTGCAAGAGTTGTAACTCTGAAGTGCACATGCAATATACTTTGGAAATACTTTCGAAAATCGACCAAAAATATTTTAAATAGCCTTATCCAACACCTACTGATATGCACAAACTTTAGAATGACGTATTATCAATCCGTACATGATTTCCATAGGGAGTGGAGATTGTGCACACAGTGTGTGCGGGCAAGCACTGAATCCAATGACCGGGGTAATAGTATATATTTGTAAAGCGCTTAGAGACATTTGTATTGAGCGCTATATAAAAATTAAATATTATTATTATTATTATATGCACAAGGCTATAATTGGCTTGGGTTGACTTTTTTTAAAGTAGATGCGATCATAATAATAATAATAATAATAATAGTGGGTTCTTGTATAGCGCTCATGTCAGTCAGATTTGACACTCCTGGCGCTCCCGACGATTACCCTGGCTTTAGTACGGCTGCCATACGGCGCTCTAGCATTTCAAGGAATAAAGTCCTACCAGGTACCCATTTACTTCACCTGGGTGGAGTGTGGCAAATTGTGCTACAATTGGGTATTGAAAATGTCCCGGGTTGATACTTCCAAGGTCTTTGTAGTTGCATTAGAGAGCGATTGTATCCAAGGCTTAGTGTTTCAGGTCACACACATCATGATTGGTCAACAAAGATCGACTAGGGGCATTACCCATGACAAAGTGTGAGATTGTTGAAGCCACAAAAGTTAATCTGTTGACAACTGAATTATCTAATTCCCATAGACTTAACACAGGGACCACCAGGTTCCAGTAAGCAATGAGTTAAGAGGAGTCCATGTTCCAGACTTGGTACAGGTACAAACTTGATTGTTTGTTGTGTTTTCTTCTATTTTGGTAAGCAGTATATACTATCAAAAGTCAGAAGCATTCATGAATATTCAAGATTACTACACGATAGAGCTGCAACCTGGATGAACCCCTCCCCCACTCCTAACACATTTCATACAGTTCGCTCTGCATAACTCAAAGTCACACAAGTCAATGTCCCTATCAAAAAAATGTGTTAATTACACTTTTAATTTGAATTTTGCACGAGTCAAACTCTTTTTGTTGTTGGTCCCAACAGATATGCCTCTTGAAGAGTTAAATGCATTAGTTTTTGTTTTGCTTTTTACTAAACGACTTCACTTCATATTCTTTTCCCTCAAGTCTTGCACCTGTACGCCACTTTGGGGGAGCTTCGACAAAGCGCTTCTCTATCACCAAACAAGCTACTTGGCATAAATGGTGCATCTACACTCTCTCCTATTCAATAGTGATGGTCATGCATCTGTACAACTAGTTCTCCATACAAACAATAAAAGCCATGCACCACTCATACATAACTTGCAAAATGTACATACAGCAATCTCTTAAACGTGATTATTGATTTATCCTTGATCAGATATGTTTTCTCACCACTCATTTTGGAAAGTTTTATATGCAAGGATACATGACGAATATTCTAACACTGGTTATAAATGCCACATTTATTGAACTATCTACTTTTGCCCAATCTAAAACTAAATATATAAGCTCACTTTGATATCCACATCTAAATTCACCAACACCCAACCAAATGTGTTGTGTGCCACGCAGAGGTGCATAAATGTATCGACGGAAAGTAAGCACACCTAAAAAATAACTTACTTTTTCAAATTTATGTCTGTTTTTCTATACTTATCTATACACAACATATTTCAGTCCATACCCATATGTTGACCAAATTGTTAACAGTGACAATTTATTGGAATAGGCCATGCTATTTTGTCCAATATGTTATATATTGGCCATATTCTTGAATCTTAATTTGTCCTTAAACTAAGGGGCCAACCTTGTATCCTCTGGGAAAGGTGCTATATAAATTCAGTAATTCTTCTGATTATCATATGTTGTAATATATCTAGTCGTTGTATGAAGTTGATAGCCCAACGAGAGCTTAGATCACACCAGATATGAATTAAAGAGAGACAGTTCTCTGGTTGCTTACCAACAAGCATTTATGCTTTCTTAGCAGTCGGGTAAAATAACCACCACTACCACGATTGATTGACGTCTAGCTCCTTGCCCCAGCTATATAAGCAAGCCGACCAGATCCTCATGTTATGTAGTCACCTTACAAATTTGATCCCGTTGACCAGTAATTTGGAGGGGTGCAGAAAATGAGGTTCTAATATACTTTTGTTCAGTACTGAGAGGGAAAAAAATTGTTACTCTACGTTCATGCAGCTTTCCCTTGACATAAACTTTATAAAGTTGCATTTTCATCGGATAGGGTCTTAAAGTCATCAAAGCTGAAAAGCTTTAAAAAACTCACATTTGTGTTTACATCCTTTTGCTAGACACACAACATTCATCACTAGTCGTATGATCACCATTGGTATACAAACACATACATTCATTCTACCAGCAACACTTGAATATAAACTACACAAAATTGAAAGTAATATTGAATAATGTACATAATTGATAAACTAGAAGGCAATTTCAAGTACAACCAATGATTACCGATAATAATCACATACATGTTTGAGTAGATATAAATTTACTATTGTATTTGCTTTCAAACATATTGAATGTCCATTTGTATTCAATTTATACATATTTGTCATATGAATTTGATTCACAGTATAGAGAAATCTAAAATATACCACACTCTGATTTTCTTAAATGTTTTTCTTTCAAAATGATGGACCATGAACAGGCAAGAATCACTAACGTTGTCTAAGATTAAGACGTTTGGCCGTTGGAATTAACTTGTTCAGTTTACAAATCAAATCAGGTAGGTTTTTTACTTTCAATTATGAAAGACACTGGAAAAGACAACTAAATTAATAATAATAATAATGATCATAACATTTAACCTCATTCCTATTTGTTGCATACCAGTACAGAGTTACTTGTCTGTATACCAAACATTCTTATAGGTTCATTCCTGCAAACGATACAAAATGTGATACAAAGATCCCAATTTTAAGATTTCAGCCATGCCATCTTTGCTGAAATGATTTAGACATTATAGCAATGACCGAGAACACAATGTAAACAAGATGAAAGAAGAATTCTGAAGAAAAAAAGCTTACAGATAGGTGTACAACAATATAACATGACTCTCAGAGAAATGACATGTACTTTTATTTCATGGTGCTGCTCAACGTTCACCCTCGAGATGAAAAAAAGAGAGGGAAAAAAGGAATTGTATGACAAAAACTATCATCTTGATTAATTCTGTAAATTTACTGATCCCCAGTTGATTTCTTTCAATGATTACAACTGACACAACGCAAGGCAGTTAATTTGTCTTGATTTTCTAACTGAAGCGCATTGAAAATTTGAAATGTATTATGTATTGCGCTATATGCATGCAAGACATTGTTGTCTTTATTTATACATAGCTCTTTATCATATTTGTAATGAGAATCTATGTTGTGACTCCTCTCTCTCACCCATACTAAAATAAATTACTACCAGGCTCCACTTTGTTAAATATTTACTATGATTCTATTAGATATTAATGATAAATATGATGATATTAATACAATCACTATATAAAACCAACTATGCCATTATAATAAGCCCTTGACTTAGATATGGGAAAGGTATAGGCTAAAACAATGAAAGCCTCAATTTAAACAGAGACTGATCCATTCTTAGCTTGCTATAGAGCAAGTCAAATGTAGACCGAATCCCGGTCCTGCCAGTCCTGATCCAGGGATAGACCATGGTTCCTCTACAAGTCCTTGTCAATGAACAAACCCTAGGAACTAGAACTGGTTCCTAGGCTTCATTTAGTAACCATCCTAGGTAAAGAGAAAAGTCTTCATCAAAAACTTGACCTTAATACTGGCTCCTAGACTTCATTTAGAAACCAGTCCACCAGTAAACATATAAACCTTGATCTGATCAAGACCTGATACTGGTTCCTAGACTTAATTTAGGAACCAGTCCAGGTACAATGAGATACTGATCTGATCAAGGCCTAGTACTGGTTTCTAGACTTAATTTAGGAACCAGTCCAGGTACAAAGAGCTACTGATCTGATCAAGGTCATGTAAAGGAACCAATGGCAGTCCTTGGACAGGTTCTAGTCCTGGTCCTGAGTGAGAGAGCTTAGTCCTGTCCAATCAGAGCCACAAGGAGTTTCTTGTAGTCCCCGCTGGTATCCCCAGAGACCATCTTGCCCAGGGTCTTGTGATATTTCTCAAGGAATGCCTTCTTGATCTCAACCAAATCAATCTATACAAAAATGAGAAAAAATACCAGTATATAAAAAAAAGAAAATGGATCAATTTCATACCACATTACTATGTCCAATTTGCAGGTTAAAAAAATGAAAAGATTAATTTTCAACAGCATTTGAAAGATAAAACTAATTTAGAACTTCCCTATAAAAAAAAGGGCTTGAAAATGACCATTGGTTGTCGAACTGACTTAAGTGATAGCAATTACCTAATTACAATCCATTTAGTAATAGTTTGATTTGCAGACCCTTGTATTGAATGGTCGTACGTTTTGTGCGGAGCAAAGATTCAATCAGTTTAACTTTGGCCATTTAAAAGAAGTGGGTAATTCATGTAGACAAATGCTCATGTGCCCTCTTTAGATCTACAGCTCATTTTATGTATGTTATCACCAAAGAAAAAAAAAGTCAGTCAGTCACTCAATAGTGACTGATGTTGGCTGCATATTGGACAAAGTACCTTTAAAGGAAGTGGGTTCTCAGTTACCATGTGTAGAAGGCCATAATTTGCTGATACAAGACCTGGTGGAAATACCATTAATGGGTGTACAAGTCTGCACACAGCAAACCTGTAGGCAATCAAGAAATACCTCCCTCATCTCTCAGAGAGTCTTTGGGTGATGCAAATGTCTAATAAGGACTTTACCATATGGGGAAAAGACAGAGCATTACATGAAGCCTGAAGGCTACTCCTGGCGATTGACAGCACCTATTATTGGGTGAACAATTTGTCATTGTACTTTTTGTTTAATTGAGATATGGCAGATTAAGTTTTGCCAAGGAAGGGAGCGGGGCCCACTTGGTTCCACCACTGCGTTGTTAAATTCCATACCTCTGAGCGTGTCACGATAACTCGGATCAGCGTATCGTCATCAGTACCGGCTCCTTTCATGGCACGATACGCACGATCAGCAAAGTAGGATGGTCGACTCTGAGTACATTGCACTGGACAAATTAAAGAGAGAGTAAGAGAAAGAGAACATGGGAGTATTATGTATTACATAAAGCAGAAAGTGGATTGCTTGGGCCAGCAAAATACGAATGGCAGTAGCATCTCTAAAGGAGGCATGGGGGAGGGGGGAGGGGTGCTCAAGCTCTCTCTAAATTTCTCAATACTCCCCCCCCCCCCCCCCCCCCAAAAAAAAAAAAAAAAAACACAAACAAACAAAAACAAACAAAACAAGCAACAACAATAATAATTATAATAATAATAATAAAATAATTAAATAAATAAATAAATATATAAATAGGCACATGTAAACAATTAATGCAAGAACCTCCACCCCCCCCCCCAAATAAAAAGCCCCCTTCCCCAAAATAACAAATTCTTTTAGAACCGCACCTGATGAACAAATCAATAAAAGTCTCTTTCAAATCATATTACATGATCAGCGCAACTCACATTTGCATATCCATGACCGTGTGGTGTCGTGTATCCTGTGGTCAAGACTTCCAACTCAATGCCCTTAAATGCATCTTTCTCTGTTCATTACTCAGCTATGATATACTGGTATTTCCCAGGAAAATTCTTCAGCAGATATCAACTACTAGTAGTCATGAACATTTAGAGTATCAACTTAGTCCTGTGACAATTTTTAAAAAAAATGTAATCAGAACTCAAAATTCCCATTAAGAATGCTTGTTCACTGAGTTTTACTTCCTCTTATAGTGTACCAATCACTTTTTTTTAAAATGTCTGTACAAATAGAATGTATAAAATCAACCTGAAGTATTATATGGAGAAAATAAAGGATGACATGAAACCTTATGTACTGAACCCATGTCGGACCTTAAACTACTGTGAGTGAGTATGGGTACGTCAACATTTCTCAACTTCTACTCAACGGTCTTTTTTTTTGGGGGGGGGGTTTATTGAGAGGGTATTTGAACTCACAATATCTCTGTATAGAAGTGATAAGTGAAGCTCATATTTGAATATAATACAGCTACATGGAAACATAACATACATGGTATAATATTTTCTGGTGATTTCCACACTTTTCTAAGTCACATACCGATTGTTTTGAGTCCATTCTTGATGTTGCCAGAGAACTCTCTCTCAATACTATTCAACAAGTCACGCTGGGCGATCTAAAGATAAAGGAAATGAGAGTCACTTTTATTCAATATTATAAGACGGGTTCTAGAATGTAAGCAATCCGATTGGTCTATTGACATCACGTGGGCGTGTATTAGTTCTTCCCATCCTGCAAAACATCTCTCATCAAAATTGATAACACACGCTCGATATCGCTTTCGCGTAATTCAGCCTTACTCACCCTGGTATATTCTTTGAATGTAGCTCTGAGCTGAGCAAAGTTCCTTGTGGCTAGGATACGGTTGAACTCGGATTCATCGGTGCCCCACTTCTTTTCCCCTGCCTGATAGAGGGCGTTTGCTTCAGCCTGCGCCTTGGCCATGTCTACTGTGCTAGACTCATCACGGTTGCCCTGTGCAAATGAAAAATTATAAACGGATTTGTACAGAAGGATATACTTTCTTTGTGACAGTCATTTGAACAATCATTTGAATAAAAAAGAAAAAGAAAACATAACAAAAGCACATTCCTAAAGTTTGTATTGAAAAGGAAGAAAAACTAATATGACTTCTTGACAGTTCTAATTATTTGGTTTATATCCTGCATCAACAATTTATTGGCTTTTGATTGGTTGAGAGCTTGTCACATGACCAGAAATATTTCAACTTTTTTAAGGTTGCTCTGAAAAAGCACTATTTGGGAGTACTATTTGGGAGATGACTTTTCTTTTATTTATTTGATTTTTTCTTCAAATCTGAACTTAATAATTTGTTTTTATGTTTAATTCAAAATTTCAATAAAAAAAAAAAAATCGTGTTTTTTTAAATAATGTTTTTTAAATAAATCTTTGATGCAGGATATAAAAAAAATTATAAAATGATGACGTAGATCCTAATCAAATGATTGGTTGAAAGCGTACACGTGACCATGCATTTATTTATCGTTTCACTTTTACTCGCGAAAATGGCTGACGCAGAATTTAAAACGCTCCTCTAATTACAAAGCCAACAAGAATAACAGATTCCACAGCAACCTTGATAGATAATATATTTACAAATAGTATTTGCAATATTTTTTCTGGTATATTGACCTCTGAAATATCTGATCATTTACCTATATTTGGAGTTTTTGATTTTAAAGGTATTCATGAAGAACAACCAGCGGTATACAAACATCAAATTAATGATATGAATGTCAACTGTTTTCTTAGAGATCTCTCTCTACAATTGATTTTACCTGTTTGCTTTCTGTTTATCACGGGGAGCCAAACCTAATGTATGAGAAATTTATGGAGGTTTTTTCTGAGATCTATAGTACTTGTTTTCCACTCAAAAAAATCATTAATAAGAAAAATCATAAACCATGGTTTACTAAAGAACTGAAAAGGATGTGTTCAAGAAAAAATTATTTTTACAAAAAGTACATTAAAAATCCTACTGAACTCCGAAAAGATTGCTACAACAAATTCCGTAATCTTTATACAAACCAAATTCGTAGTGCCAAAAGAAATTATTACTTTTCAAAGTTTCGTACATTTAAAGGAAACATTAATAAAACGTGGAGAACTATTAATGATATTCTCCAGAGAAAAAAAGAAAAATTCCTCTGTGTTTAAGTGTAACAATTCAGTTATAAGTGATTCTAAAGAAATTGCTGAGAGCTTTAATGATTATTTTAAAGATGTTGGTCATAAATTAGCTGGTATGAACAGGAACGTAACGAATATTAATTGTACCTCTTATTTAAATAGCAATTTTCCTCATACTGCATATTTCTTACCCATCACTGAAAAAGAAATAATTAATAATGCTCTGTCTTTTAAAAATGGTAAAGCTCCTGGTTTCGACTCCATTGATTGTTCTGTAGTGAAAAAGGTTATTCATGTCATATGTAAACCGTTGTGTAATATTTTTAACTCATGTATTGAGCAAGGTGTTGTACCTGTTGACCTGAAAATTGCCAAAATTATTCCCATTCATAAAAAGGGACCTAAAGATATATTCTCAAATTACAGACCCATTTCATTACTTCCACTCTTCTCTAAAATCTTTGAAAAATGCATCTATACCAGACTACACAGTTTTCTTGATAAACATAGTATACTGTACAATAAGCAGTTTGGATTTAGGGCCAGGTATTCAACTGATCATGCTCTTTTAGATTTTTTAATACAAGTATCAAAGGCAATTGAAAACAAAGAAATTATTATTGGTATATTTTTGGATTTTAAAAAAGCGTTTGATTCAATTAACCATGATATCCTCCTTTCAAAACTTTATTATTATGGAATTTGTGGTGTTACTCTTAAATTATTTCGCAGTTATCTAAATGATCGCAAACAATTCACTGTTTTCAATTCTAAAAATTCAAGTTTGCAATCAGTTTCCTGTGGTATTCCGCAGGGGTCAATTATAGGCCCACTGCTCTTCTTAATTTATATAAATGATTTACATTCAGTCTCTCCCATTTTGAATTTTATACTGTTCGCGGACGATACAAATATATTTTATAAGCATAAAGATGTTGAATGCCTGACCAAAAATCTAAACACTGAGCTCTTAAAGGTTAGTGAGTGGATTAAAGCAAATAAACTGCAACTTAACTATGAAAAAACCAATGTTATGTTATTTAACTTTCCAAAGACGTGTGTTAGTGAAGTAAAAATATATATGAATGGAAATCTGATTGAACATACAAGTTCAACCAAGTTCTTAGGCATTAATATTGATAAAGATCTTAAATGGAAAACACACGTCTATGAAGTTCTACGTAAAGTGTCTAGAACAATAGGAATTATGAGTAAACTTAAAGACATATTGCCAACCAAAATTCTTATAATGTTATACAACTCACTAATCTTGCCTTACATATCCTACTGTAACATTATATGGGGTTTTTGTAAACAGCATTTACTTAATCGTATTTTCCTCCTACAAAAAAGAGCAGTTCGTATAATTTGCCACAAGCCATTTTTAAGTCCAAGCAGACCTCTATTCTTGAAACTGAATATTCTCCCAATATCATTATTACATGATTTTCAACTTTGTGTTTTAATGTATTCATATTATCATAACCTATTACCAGAAATTTTTTGTAATATATTTCAGAGCAATAACGATATTCATAGATATAATACCAGGACTTCAGGAGACACTCGTGTAATATATGGTCATTCTTCATTTTCAAATAGTATCTTTTTATGCCAAGGACCCACCATTTGGAACAAACTACCCCCTAAACTTAAACAGTGTGCATCTTTAAACAGTTTTAAGCATCATCTAAAACTTCACCTGATACAGCAAATTTGAATTTGACAAACGCAATTTTTATGTGTGTAATTACCATTGTAGTATTGTATTTTTTTTTTTTTTTTTTTGTCCCCCTTTTTGTTTTTATTGTGTGTACATTTTTAGGATCATCTACCTATAAGTTTTTGTAACTTTTTTGATGATCCAACCACTTCGTAATTTCCTTTAGTGTACTTTCCATTTTAGTTGTTTATCTACATGTATGTTTTGCAAGAAACTATTGTATTCTTTGCCTTTGTATGTTTTTATGAAAGTGGTAAATAAATCTCAATTCAATTCAATTCAAGTATATCAGTCAAAGATGTAGACCTATAATTAGTAATGTACAGATTTTGAGATGAGGATGATTTATCAAATAACAAGGATCCACATCATAATTTTATAAAACAAATACTACACAGCAATTTGTTCGGGCATTAGTTAAAAAATACCCACACTCAGTACCTTTGAAACAGTCTAAACACCCTCGGCTATCGCCTTGGGCGTATTAGACTGTTCCAAAGGTACCTTGTGTGGGTAATTCTTACTATTAATGCCCTCACTGCAGTGCATTATTTGTATGTTATACCATGCCTTCTTTTTGAGGTACTGGTTAAAACTATAGGCCTCGGTGACTCCAATAGTACCATTTGTTTCGGGGCTGTGCCCCTCAGCAAATAGTACAATTGGAGTCACCTCTTATGCATAGTTTTAACCAGATCCTCTCAAGACAGTGTATATTTGTATACTATTACTACCATGTTACAGATAACTCTACACAACATTTAGCTTTCATTATTTTTAGAGCAAGGTCATTTTTTCTTTTCTTTTGTTACAACACAAATAGGAAAATCTAAAAGGGCAGCACAAAGTCCCTTGGGCCAAGCAGTAGCTTTTGGGAGGGCCATTACGGCCAATCAATGAGTCATCCATGGCTAAGAACTTGGTAACCTTCAGCCCTAACATCTTGCACGTCATCGTGACAAAAGACTAAATTCAAGAGGTATTCCGTAAGATAATATTCATCCATACAATCTAGTATTCTCACAATAGTTTTGACTGACTGCCAGCATGAATTTTCCACTGACCCAAGCCCAATTTATCTCCAAGCTTAAATTTAAAATTGTGCCCAATCAAATTACCATAATTCAGGTAACTTTTCTACTGATTTCGAAGAAAGAATATATTTTTCAAATTACTTCATTAATCAGATGACCATGTTTAACCGGGTCAAGCTCGCTATCCATAAGGACCACTATTCATAAGGACCATTATTTATAAGGACCGCTATCCATAACGCATGACTAAATGAATAGCAGTCCTTATAAATAGCGAGCAGACCCCGTTTAACCTGTGTTAAACAGGTTAAGAACACTGCAACAAGACGTACAGTAGAAACCTCTAAAAAATACATGTACCAAAATGTACTCAATGGTTAGTCACCTGACACATTGAGACGAGCAGTCTCTTGAAATGTCCGCTGGTGTCTCCGATGCAATCCTTCTCCATGGTGGTGCGGAACTCTGTGCATTGGATTAGAAAGATTGTAGGATTAATACATTGTACAAATAACCACCCAGTCACCCAATGTTGAAAAAATAGAATTCAAACTCAAGGACAGTTTTTCAATGTAAGTGTACTGCAAAACAAGAAACATATGTGAACTTGAAACACAGGCCATTTCCACGGCAGGACACTCTCTCAAGACTTGCAAAATTTCAGTTTTCGTGATTATATCATTTATATGCGGCATGAAATTTTCATGACCAAGTCCAAGCACAAAAGGCATTTATTATTTTGCATTGAAGTGTCACTGACAAGCTGTCAGAATAGATACTAGGACAACTTGATAATGGACAATCACCACCACACAACTGTCTCTGGACAACTACTCTAGGGCATCTATCTCCTTGGACAATAACCTCCCAGACACTTGCCCTAGGACAAAAACCACCAAGAATAAGTACCTCCCTTTTTAAACTGGAAATATCCTAACAATTACCAAGTGTCCTACGGGAAAATCATCCCAAACTACATGTACTACTCACCCCCCCCCCCCCCCCCCCCCCGGACAACTACACTACTCACTAACTTCATTACCCCCAGGTTGTTGTCTAAGGGTAATGTGGGGTGGGGGGGGGGGGGTGGGTTCATAGGGGTAGTGTTCCAGCAGGTGAGAGGTACGTGTAAATGTTTGCTGTCCTAGGGAGTATATTGCCGTTTGGTCTACAATCAGTTAGGCTACTACCCAACTAGTCTATTCTCATATGGTCAACACCCAGCCTCCCTACAATCCACAGGGTCTAATGATCCTTTCGTGTACTTATCATTTGGTCTAATGACCATTTAGGCTAATAATCATTTGGTCTAATTTCCATCTGGTCTAATCTCCCATAAGTATTCTACCCATTTGGTATATTGGTCATTTAGTCTAATGCCCACTTTGTCTTCTATCCATATGGTCTTATAATCATTTAATCATAAATAATGATCATCAAATGATAATTAGACTTATGGATATTAGACGAAATGGGCATCAGACAAACTTAGAATTAGATTGACTGGTTATTCAAGGTTTGTGTAGTTGTTGAGGGGTTAATTTTCCTTTGTTGGGTAGTTGTCCAACAGGTGACAGTCTCGGGGAAGTCATTATAACATAGTCAGCATCATAGGACTTGATATAACTCACGTTTCTTGTACTCCTCATTAATCTCATGTATTTCTTTGTTGGTACGGGTACACAGAATCTCAATCAAGATCTCCTCATCGGTGCCAAGACCCTAAAGGTGGATAGATAGATAGATAGATAATCAAATTTATTCCATTCATCATAAAACACAATTAGATACAATAACATACAAAATCACAAGATATATAGTCAAAATAAACAAACATTACATAAGATAATAGTACAATATAAGGTGATCTGGACAAAAACAGTATTCATAAAATATATCAACTGTAGTCCAATCAACACTGAATGAATTTTTATACAGAGGAAAACCTGGAAAATAGAACTTAAAAACAATATTTAGATTCATACCGTTGCAAGATTAAAGAAAGTATAATACAATATCACTTTGTATATAAATGTAAACAAACTTAGGAATATCAAATTCTGATGCAGATTGAATGAGTTCTAAAGCATATCAACTCTCAAACGTCTTTTGTGCAACAGAATTTGTGGACAGCAAGTAAATGTGCAATGTTAAATGCTAAATATGACAACTAAATGAAGGTTTTCAGTGATCAATTATATGAATTCCATGGCAGTTTATCTTTTTTTTGTGAAGACAGCTATCAATTCTTGATAATGTGATTCACATGCCCTACATGTACTTTGAATGTAATGCTACACACTTCTCCAGAGCACAATCCCTATCACTTCTGCATTACAAATCTAAGAAAGTACAATTACAAACAACAAAATAATTAAGATATCTGATTCCTTCAAACAATATCATTATTGTTTTCCCTCCATCCTGTCTCTTCTAAGAAGATAGGAGGAATAATATTTAGTTTTTCAAAATCTTTTTTCGTCAAATACCTGCAAACATGTAAGCCAAATAAACATGTACACTGTTGTCAAGTTACTGTACCAGATTTCTAGTTGAGACTGGTGATCATATATCTTACCTTGATAGCCTTGTTGATGGCATAGGCATCATACTGAGGACCAGGAACAAACATGGCCAAGATGAGGTCTTCCAGCTTACCACTCAATTCAGATTTCAGATCATGGATCAAGTCCTTGTGAATGAAGAGTATGGGGAATGTTGATAAAATATATCACCAAATTCATTCACTACCTGGTTAGTATGAAACCCATTTAGTGATTGATTCATGCAAAATAAAAATATTTTAAGCGGACGATGGGGCAATATGTATATGGTTTAAATTTCTCTTTAAAAAATGGAGGAAAAGTCATTTAAATATTATAGTGGCACATCAAACCATGGCTTTACAGAAAAAGAATGCATCTGATAAATTAAAATTTATTCTGGGGACTCTCACAATTCTGAAAGTTCATCACTCCAAAGGGTTCATTATTCCATGTCAAATATATAAACATGTGTATTTTTCCTTTACCAATGCCTACCCCAAGAAGCTACATGTAGGTCCCCAAAATGTGAAAGATGATTAACTAATACATGTGTACATGCTAATAAATATTGCCCCCCAAAAATAATAATAAATGGATACAAATGTACTTATCCTTCAGATATTTTTTTTACAGTCTTATGTTTTGAAACTCCTTTGAATGAAAGGAACATCTAGCACTGTTTTCATAGTGCCCCAGAGGGAACTATTCTCAAATCAACAGATATAATGGTCGATACAATTTTGAATTAAGTACAAATATTTATTGAGTCTCGAAAATAAATATATCTGGAGTTAAACATTCAAACTTGATTTTGTTGAAGGCCAGTTTCCATTTTTATTCATTTGATGGGAGATTCCTAATAATACATCTCTTCGAAAATTACCACTAAATTCATAGTACTTCAGGTTTTTAGGTCTGCAAAAGGGACAAACCATCTTTAACGCGTAATACAATATCAAATTTGTACCCCTAGATATCATTTTTGTTTAAATGCGTACAGGATATATAAATACATGCATTACATAAACAAGAATACAAAACAATTGGTGGGTATATCAAGTAGGAAGCAACATGCATGTGTATACGGACAGAAGGCAATTATGAGGTTGTAACAGAAGGCAATTATAAGGTTTGTAAAACAGATGGTGAATGCAGAGAAGTGTGGTAAGCAATATAACTGTGAAATAAAAGATTTACCATGACAAATAAAGCATATATATAACAAGTACAGGGATTATGGAAACAGGAATAGATGTAAAATGGAGGTACACATGTAACCTGAGAGAGAGATCATGCCACTGACTAAACCCACAAAACAAAAATATGCACAAGAAAAAAAAGGAATGAAGAAATTTTCAAACGTTCCATGAGACCTTCATCCAACAAGACAGATACGAAAAGGAAGAAATACATGTATGTAGGGACATTGTTCAGTTTAGTGAGCTATCAATCTAGTGAACCCTCTCAAAAGTGGACAGAAAGAAGAAAGAAATACATGTATGTAGGGACATTGTTCTGTCTAGTGAGCTAACAATCTAGTGAACCCTCTCAAAAGTGGACAGAAAGAAGAAAGAAATACATGTATGTAGGGACATTGTTCTGTCTAGTGAGCTAACAATCTAGTGAACCCTCTCAAAAGTGAACAGAAAGAAGAAAGAAATACCTTCCTTATTTCTCAACATTAGTTGGAAATGTTAGTATATATGTGGCATCATGCAAAAGGTTATAGATAGTAGTTGCAAAAGCACAGCAGTAACGGTGTAGTACAATTAGAAGACAGTTTTTTTCTCTTTTTTTGGTTCTGCATTGTTTGTTTGTTTTTTTTTTTTTTTTTTTTTTTTTTTTTTTTGGGGGGGGGGGGGGGGTCATTTTGTTTTGTTGGTATAATGACAAGCCCAAACATAATGAATAGAGAGGACTCCTTGCTTCTTTCATTCTATTATATGATTATTGTAAGTCACACGAAAGAAAATGGATGAACGTTGAACAAATGTCCCCTTTAATTTCACTAAGTGTCACTATAACTGGGAGGTATTTGATGACTCTACCCGATAACCCAACAATTGCTCCTGCAACATTTGCTTGAAGGTTTATTTCATCACAGGTATTGGGTTAGGGTTACAAATGGGTTTTTCATGTAGGTTAGATTTAGAGTTGGGTTTAGGTATAGGTTTAGGGTTAGATTTAGGGTTGGGTCTAGTGTTTCATCAAGGGTTTAAGTTATGAATTTTAGAGTGATAAATTGACATAAGCAATTGTCACAGGAGCAAGTATTGTACAACCGTTGTAACCGCTCCCTAGGATGGAGAATGTTCTATTTTGCCCATTGCCAAAATGCCTCATTATTGCCTAAATGCATGCAGTGCATGAAAGTGCATCTAAACTATTCCTAGTGTGCATTATATATACTACAAACTGCAATTTCAAGCATGCATATCTTATTTATTTTTTTAAAGAAGAATCAAGCAATTTGATTATAGGTAGAATTTGATTCCTTTCAAGATTAGAAGAGAAGAAGAAAAAAAGAACCTGTTTTTATATATTCCGCAATGCAAAACAGTTGTATGCTGCATATGAGGTGAGACTGAATACGAATTAAAATTCAACTTTGATAGAATCAGCCAATTTGTACTAAAGTTTCGCATGAATCTTATTTAGTTTGTCCTTGAAAAACAATGGGATAGTTCAATCAAATATTTGATAGAGTCAGCGTCATATATAGGAAGGAAGAATTAAAGCAGATCTAGTGAAATTATCAAACTACTATTAGATGCGAGATGAGTTTTTCTGTCAAATTAAGTGCAAAAATCTTTACAGCTTGCAACTACATGTACCTTGCCATACATGGTCTTGAATTGAAGCTTAATAGTCTGACGCTGTGCATTGCTTCGGGTAGCCAAGAGATTAATGATGGCCTTCTCATCCGTACCTGATAACGAAAGATGAAAGCAAACTCTCAAGACATTTCACACTGTTACTAAGGGAACACACATACAAGGAACATTCTGAGACAAATGTCTATTACATAAACATAAGGGATTATATCCAGGTGAGCCAGGTAACACTCTTGTGTTAGTTGTTTGGAGGGCATTAGGTAGCTTCAATCACCACACACAAGGCCCTGAAAATATTAAACAAACTTAGAAGTATTTGTTATCGAAAAGGTAGACAAAATACAGAGAAACACAAGGAAAGTACAGGTGAGTATGAGAGTAGAATATTTAGAGGAAGAGTAGTACATTACAAAGTGGATGTGTTGATAAACTGTGGTGTGTGGGCATGTGTGTGTGTGTGTGTGTGTGTGAGGGAGTATTTGTAAAAGTGACAGACTAGTAGATATATACACACAGGGACAGACAAACAGACAAACAGCTTAGGAAGAGGTAGAGACAGGCAGGGTGAAGCATAAAATTGCAGACAAGCATAAAATTGCAGACAAATTTAATAAAGACAAATTGACAAAGAAAGTAAAAAAGGAGTCAGTCGGTTGACAGAGAGTAATTGAAAGATTAATAGAGAAGAAGAAAATGTGATAAGAGAAGAACAAAGATAAGATTGACACTATAAAACAAACAACAGTGCAGCCTAAAGGTTCCAAACTGAATGCAACAAAATAGAATCACAGCTTCCACTGACAAACTAAGCGATGCTGGGGCATTTTCCAGTCTGTCACGATGGCTACAAGCACAAGCTGTGAATCAATCTGTTGATGCTTTATGAACAGGGACAGTGAATGCTGTCAAATAGACACGAAACAAAACGGTAAACTTTGGCACAACTTTGGCGTGGATCACAAAGCATGCCAGGGGGAATGACTGTTGCTGAGTGCCGATGAACATGGACTCCCTGTATTTTACCTTGCCGTACATGGTCTTGAATTGGAGCTTGATTCTCTGGCGTTGCTCGTTGTTACGAGCTGTGATGAGGTTGATGACCGCTTGCTCATCCGTTCCTGATCAATGCAACAAGTCTTGTTAAAAATAGCTTTTTTCTTTAATACCCTCACAGGCAACTCCTTCTTTACAAACAGCAAACTCGTCATGCAATATTAAACAGTTTACATTTGTATTATTTAAAAAGGCACATAGCTAAAATTATCATATTTAGGTCAAAGTCTTTTAATCAAGTGTGGGTTGATTTTCTTCTACTAGAATAGTTTTAAGAAGTGACTCATAAACAGATGCAGAAGTTCATGTATCCCATGAATTCCTGTATTGCAATCACTTACCAATAACAGGGCATTATATTACTTTGTCTCATGTGCCTTGGATATTTCCTTATAAACTATTTTTTTTTAATTTGCTGCAAAGTGATATTTATTCACTTTCAAGTAATTTCAAATCTATAATCATGGCAGTCATGGTCATTCTTACAGCATTGAGTAATAGTCAAAGTAAATAATTTGTCTTGCCAATTCAGCCATGTACAGATCAATGTCTTTGATGAGAATACCATGATTTTAATCTTTTCACTACATCTTAAAGGCATCATTTTACAATGTTAAACCTGAGATGCATGGCCCTACATGTTATTAGTGTCTGTGATATGGTGTAATATTAAAGCCCTACAAAATTGCGCTTCAAAATGATCATGAAGTGCCTCAAAAAAGTTTAAATCTTTGAGTGACCGGTTTTACAATACTCATTTCCCCCAATAGACTTTAGTATTTTAAAAACCGTTTGGAAAACAAATTTTTCAATTTCAATTTTCAATCATAAATATCTTGATAATCAGACAGGCGATCGGCTTGTAAAAGTCATGGTATTCCTGACTGACCTAAAGGTTTATAATCATCATTGCAGCATGAGCTTAATCCAGGATTTTGTTTCAGAATCTGAGACAAAGTTACCCAATCCCTTTAAGCCATTCAGACCAGAAATTCTTTCAGGGATAAACTGTCTGACTTTTCTTCTTCAAATGAACAAAAGGAGTTCTCTTGTCTTTTTGCTATTTCTTTAGATCATCATGAATATCAAGTCTCTGAAAAAATACATGGACAGAAATAAGTCAAATACATACAAATTCCCTATTGCAAGGAAAATCTGTGATTTTTAACAATGGAACATGTTGCAAATTCAAGGATTTCAAAATTTCAAAAACTTTCTTGTCAAAGGTAGAGGGCATAACTACAGAAATGAACACAATGTGATCAGACAATTATGCATTTCCTTGTTCAAATATCTGGGGTTATTTTAATTGATGAACAAGTCCAAGGTATTTGGTCATTTTCTGTTTCATATGTTACCAACAATAATGAAAGATAAACAACGATTAACATTGCAAAATGTCTTTTTCATTGTTGCTTGGTCTGATCGAGGCTGTAGTAGATCCGTCAGGAATCATCAAACATACTAAGAACTTGATGATGTTGTAAAGGTATCTTTGGACAAAATACCTTGGACTAACTCAGATCTTAATAAGAAAATAGCAACACAAAACCATTAAATGTTTGCAACTGTCCTACAAGGGTTGAAGTGGCCTCGCCAGGAAAAGGAGAGGTTTCAGACTTACCCATTCCTTTCATGGCCTTGCGGAGGACACTAGCATCTTGTTCTGCATCAAAGGGGTGGTGTGGCCTGACGGTGCCGTGGGTCTCAAACGGTTGGTCTGTCAGGGCCATCCTCGAGAGCTGCGAGGTCACCGGTTCCTGGACTGCAGGAGGGGCCTAGGATGGAATAGAGGGGACATAATAAAGATGATGTCCGTTTAGGGAGACATCGGTAAAGGCTCGTTCAGATATGACTCGGTTTAAACCGCCGCAAAAGGACGCAATTTTTGTTTTATTTGTTAATGAATGGCAACTGTGTGCAACAATTGTCCTATCAACTGAGCACTTAATGTCATCGTTCCTTTTAAAGATAAAGATCAGTTCTGGTCATGCAATTGCATTGTGAAAGAAACGTTGTGGAATCGATCAGAAAAGGTTGATCATCTAGCATATAAGTATTGGTGTGTACTGCAAGGTTCTGGAATCATCAAAATGATAAGAAATTTGGCCCAGTCTTGGTAAAGTTGCAAGGACCGTACACAGAAAGATGTATATGGGACTACGCACACGTGCGCGACACATGCGTTTTATCTATCACATTACAATAGATAAACTGATTTAGCAAATATATCGATTAGTAGGCGGTTTCCCGGCAAAATTTGTATCATCATGTATTATTCAAAACATATTCTTTCACATGATTGGTAAGAGCTTCCATTTCATTTTTGTGAAATTGGGGCGTTTCCAATACTGGTCTTTACCTTTAAACGAGGTTCTGAATAAGCCTCAATCATAATGGGGCTGATTAGTCTGTACAAGCAAAGGGTCTGGATGAAACAAACTAGCTCAGAAATCAAAGCTCTGGGGCTGACTAGTCTGTACAAGCAAAGGGTCTGGATGAAACAAACTAGCTCAGAAATCAAAGCTCTGGGGCTGATTAGTCTTTACAAGCAAAGGGTCTGGATGAAACAAACTAGCTCAGAAATCAAAGCTCTGGGGCTGATTAGTCTTTACAAGCAAAGGGTCTGGATGAAACAAACTAGCTCAGAAATCAAAGCTCTGGGGCTGATTAGTCTTTACAAGCAAAGGGTCTGGATGAAACAAACTAGCTCAGAAATCAAAGCTCTGGGGCTGATTAGTCTTTACAAGCAAAGGGTCTGGATGAAACAAACTAGCTCAGAAATCAAAGCTCTGGGGCTGATTAGTCTTTACAAGCAAAGGGTCTGGATGAAACAAACTAGCTCAGAAATCAAAACTCTGGGGCTGATAAGTCTTTACAAGCAAAGGGTCTGGATGAAACAAACTAGCTCAGAAATCAAAGCTCTGAAAATGGAGCAATACGATTGATACAGAGCTCAAAAAGGTCCTGGATCAGATGGCCCTCTACATTGTAGAGAGACCCATGCCCCTGCACATAGCCAAATACACCTTGGGCTTGGAGAGGGATTTCATTTCCATGACCCTTTAGACTATGAGCCTCAGTGTTATCGCTTCAATGACCAGGTGGCCGCTTATCGAAATCGTTGTAAGTATAACTTCTTAGACATCCCATAGAATCATGCGTTATCGAATTAAAACACGCACTCCTAGGGGATGTCCACGAACTTAGACTTCTGACAATTTCAAGAAACTGGCCCCTTGGTGTCATCCCCTTAATGACCCTGGATGGCTAAACAGGTGCTTAGTCTCCCTATGTGAGTAAATCATATTTTCAAATTAGATGTACAGGGTAGTAATTTTTTTTTTCTTCTATTCTTAAATAAGAACTTTAGAGGTATCTTACCATTGGCTTAGGTTTCTCTTGAGCATACTGAGCTGCTAAACCTGAAACGAGAAGGAAAATCAGTGATTAAAAAAAGTAAAATTCCAGAATGCAGATACAGATTTTACCCCCCAAGGTTCTCCAAGTTTCTGATGTTAAATTTGCAATCATGTATCAATAATAGATGAAGATATCAGAAAGAAATCTTGTTAACCGCTTGGCTTGGGGGTACTAAACCAAAGCTGTCAATGAGCAACAATGGCCTATTTTGTATTATACAATGGTTTCAGAATGTAGGAAGTCTGATTAGTGAGTCAAATGACACCAAGTGACTGTGTATCATTCTTCTCTCCCACACCTACCATGCAAAATAGTTTCCATCAAAAACTGATAAACCACAGTTAGAAGTGATAATGCATGGCTCAGGTGCTCGTCTTCATATCTCTGGCGCGTACAAGTTAAAATGCAATCAAATGCACTGAGATGCACACACTCAACCCAGGTGATGAAATGGGTACCTGGCAGGAATTAATTCTTTAAAATGCTAGAGCGCCGTAATAGCAACACAGCTAAAGCCGGGGTAATAATCTCCAATTTGGAAGCGCTCAGTGATTGTAATAAGTGCTATATAAAAACTGAGAATCATTATTAATTATTATTATTACTGTTTGGCTATGCTTAATTGATGTCATTCAGGAAAGTACATATTGTGGCCTCCATGACTGTGCAATTCTTGGAATTTTAATATGGTTTGTGCTTATTTTTCGACTTTATATTCATATTGCAACCCATTTTATGAACAAATTAATTCATGCCTTGAAGCTCATGCATTAGTAACATGCAATGCACTCAGTTAAGTCACAATGAGCCAGATAATGAACTCCACAAGTCTTCTTCATTATTGATTATGACTTAACCTGAGTGCAGTGCATATTCCTTAATACACTCGCAAATATGAATTATTTGTTTACCAATCGGGCCAGCATATGATCGACAAAGTGCACAACGATACTCATACTGGTACTTATATATCTCTCCTTAAACACGAGAGATCATTTTCAATATATGCTGGTACTATAGCTTTCCTCAATTCACCAATATTTGGACTCACATACAGTATGTAATAATAGATTGCATGGCCCTCAGAGAAAACAGTTAATAAGCATGTGCTAAGGAGACTACCCGTGAATTATACATTATCATTTTGTCTGTCTGGAGCCAGAAGGGTGTTAACTCATATACTTTAACACAGAGTTAACACCCTTCTTGCACTAAACAGATGATTTGTATTGTCACTTTAACTTTCCGTGTATGTAAAATCCCCTACCAAATGAGCAATAATTTTATTTTTTTATTTTTTTGGAGGGGGGGGGGGGGGATAAATTATTGATCATTAATGGTACAGTACATATATGTACCAATCAAAAATTTGCTACCAAATATTGCGTTTCATGGCCGATTCAGACGTGAGGTAGAAAGCTGTGACAAAATGAAGGGAACTAGCATCATTATGCATGGTGTGTATAAAATGTATGCGAAATAGTTTAAACAATTATTTTCAAAAGCTCCTGTGGGACCCTTTGAAGGCATATACAGTGCATCCCAGAAAAATAAAAACCGAGAATTATCAATATGTTATCATAACTTAATCACAATTATAATTATTAAATGACACATATTTGTAAAGCTTAACTCATATGATGCATATTTCAAGCATGAGTGATTAAAATCAATTTGCAACAAACGGAATTAACAAAAGACTTAACTCCGTTTCTTTGACGATCATCCATAGTCGAAAGAATTCATGCATGGCTGATTGGCAATGAAACAGAGTTAAGTCTTTTGTCAATTCTGCTTTTATGGAAATGCAAGCATTACTTTAAACAAACAGAACTTTGTTATTCCTTGCTCATTTTGCCTGATTGAAATGTGTCATATGAAAGGGCAGAAACTAAACTTTCTAAAAATGTGATTTTCTCTTTGAAATTCAGATACCGCCCACCAAATGACTTTTTAGTTCCCTCTCTTCAAATTGATTTAAATCACTCATGTGTGAAATATGCATCAAATGAGTTGCATCAAATGAAAAAGGAGGATCTAAGCTTTACAAATATGGATCATTTATTAATTATAATTGTGATTAAGTTATGATAAACATCGATAATTCTCAGTTTCGTTTTTCCTGGGACGCACTGTATACACCAGAGGTCTCCCCCCCCCCCCCCCCCCCCCCCCTCCTCAACTCCAGAGGATCATGGAGGATAGAACCGAATGGTAAAATAATTGTCGGCGGAAGAATGCTTGATCTTGCAGTGTGTTGTATCTCTACCAAACAGAATACACATCAGTAGGGGCTTCTGCTGTGACCCCTCTCCCCCCCCCCCCCCCCCCCCCCCCCTCAATCCTCAAACCCCTCTCCCAACATACTGCCTCTCAATAAGATTTTGCTGCATGATCATGTGGGGCAGACTTCATCGTGTCTGTCTAGACAGCATAGATTGATATAGTGAACCGGCATTTGCTCTGCCAACAATTGCTCTAGTATTCTTTTGTCACAGATACACAAGTAGGGTCAGAGTTGCAAAAGGGTCGGTACAGGAGTTGCTTGTTCCAGGGTTGAGTAAGGATTTCGATTAGCTTAGAATATTGATGAAAGAGTATCACTGTAGCGATCTTCCCAAATTTGCTCCAATCTAAACTTAACCATTCATACCCTTGTAAACATTATGTGTTTTTTTGTTTTCGTAACTCAAGAATGAAAGGTGGACTGGTTGAATCCTTTAAGATGTTAGCTTTTAAAAAAAAAAGTCACATTTAAAAAAAACATATCACAACAAATCAATTTTCCACATACTTATGAATTGCATAACTTGGTAGGGGTATGAGTAATGAATTGTAAGGGTTGAATTTCTGTTTTAGGTCAGGTCTAGGGATAAGGCGAGAGCTAGATGTGCTGTGTTTGATCAAGGTTTGACAATTGTAAAATGCATCTGGGAGGAAACTGATGGCTGAGCAACTTCGCTGGAGAAAATGTTCCATCGACCCACCTGTTGCTACAACGGTTGCGCCTGCGGCACCATAGAGCTGTTGACCTGATGGTGGTGGAGGTTGGGCACCGGCTGGTTGAGAAGGGTACCCTGGTGCACCCCCTGCTGCGTATGCTGCCGGTGCTGCACCGGGGTAGCCGGCTGCTGGAGGCTGCTGTGGGTAACCTATGGATGGAGGAATGAGCATGCATGCATAATTAATTAAAGTTTGTGCAGAATGACCAATATACCACCGCCAACAAACAAATTGTTTAAATGCTGTGGGGTTTTTTAAGCATGTATATTAATTAGAAACTGCGTGCATACTCACTGAGCTTTGTGTTATAGATACAGAAAGGTGAAGCATATTACAGTACATAGCATCTTAAAACTGGCTCCAATTTTGCCACATCATATCTGAAGGAGGCTTTATGGTTGTGAGTAAAACTGGTCTCTGACTGAAGGGCATAAGATATATCTAGCAACTGTGAAATAACATTCTCTGACTTTTGAGACCTAAATTAAGAAGAATCATATAATTTCTATCAAGAATTCAGTTGTAGAACAGTCTTCAAATGTGCAGTGGCTTTAAAGGTTACCTTGGATCATGATTTTGTGATTGTATTCTGAAAGGAACTGTCTAAAAATTATTAGGAAAGGTTAATAATGTACTAATAGATAAGAACGATGGTGAATCTTAATTGAGGGTTTTACATGTAGAATTATCAAATCCCTTTTCTTTTTAATAACGACAAATAAAATAGATATAGTTTTATACACGGTTGTACCAGAAGCAGGTCAAGGGTTCTGTAATGGGGAGGGGAGCACAATTCCAGTGTTTATTTCCTATAAAGTACCGGGTATCTGACAGTTAAAATTTGGCATGAGTCAGTGGTGCCTCCCCCCCCCCCCCCCCTAAATTCATCAATAATAACATAACAGCTTTTCATGTATAGAATGATTTGTACAAGCATGGTCTGATTGCATTAAATAAACCATAAAATTCAAATGAAATAAATTCAATGTAATGGAAAGAATCTAAAATTTTGGATTATAATCAATACAGACATAATTTAAAAAGTTGAAATTAAAAAGATGAATCAAAACAGGTATATAATACTGGATGCCTTGTGATAGTACTCACCGGCAGCAGGAGGTTGGCCGTATCCTGCTGGTGGGGGCTGTTGACCGGGATAGCCTGCTGCTGGTGGGGGCTGTTGGCCTGGGTAGCCCGCAGCTGGTGGGGGCTGTTGGCCTGGATAGCCCGCTGCTGGGGGCTGTTGGCCTGGGTAGCCCCCGGCTGCTGGGTAACCTCCAGCTGGGGGTATCCCGGGGCTCCGCCGGGTGGGGCACCATAGCCTGGTGCAGGTGGCTGGGCAGCTAAAATGATGAAAGTGAGCAAAAACGGTTACTATATTGTGCTCTAGAATAGCATGACAGATTAAGATGCAAGGTATTAGGCCTACATGTAGGTCCTTGTGCAAATGTCAAAATAAAGTTTACCTGTATGTTATTATTCTATCAAATGTTATGATTCAATTAATTGTATCAGGAATTAATCATGTAGATGTACATGTATCAAGTGGACTTATAAAGGTGGCTATCGAAGGTACACTGTACATGTAATGTTAGAAGAGGAGCGGCAAGGCAGAAAAGGAATTAAAAAAAGAAGGAAAGAAGGAATGAAAGGAAGGAAAGGGAAGAGAGAAAGGGAAAGAGAGAGAGAGAGGGAAAGAGAGAGAGGGAGAGAGAGAGGGAAGAGAGAGAGGAAGAGAGAGAGGAAGAGAGAGAGAGAGAGAGAGAGAGAGAAGGGAAGAGAGAGAGAGAGAGAGAGAGAGAGGGAAGAGAGAGAGGGAGAGAGAGAGAGAGGGAAGAGAGATTTGATAAAGAGAGGAAAAGAGATAAATGACAGTTTGTACCTAGTCTGCAAGTACAGACTCTAATTTGAGCAGAGCCTAGATGTGTCAGTTTCTGGCTGTGTCTAAGTACAGAGCCTATTTGTAGTCTCATCTTGAAGACACTGTTACGCGTGACTGACGAGGGTTTGTGCTTTCAAACTTGTTTGTTCATTATGTAAGTTCATTTGAGCATCGGAAGTTTCACAATGGTGTGAATATGGTTATATGTGAATTAACTTACACCCATATATGGTTATGACAAAGACTTTATTAATGAAATTTCACAATGTTGTATGTATGTTTATATGTGAACATATTAACTTACACACATATATTGTTATGAAAAAGACTATCAATGAAGATTCACAATGTTGTGCATATGGTTATACATGTACATGTACATGTATGTGAACATATTAACAATAAAATATGGTACACATAGATACAAATACATGTAAGTGAACATAAACATATAAAAGTGCTTTAATAGAGACATATAGAGACATGTATCAAGCGCTATATACATGTAAGCGGAATATTATTATAATTATATTCATGTATGTACCGGTAAACATATTAACTTACGCATGTAGGTGAACATACATGTATAATAAACATAGTTGTATTGTTAACCGGTACATGTGCAGTAAAGCAGTTCAGAATTTCTTTTTTTTTCTAAATTGATCAGTTTCCTCCTCAAATTGGCAATAACAAGTCTTGTTTTCCACCCTTTCATAGTTTGAAAATAAAAATTGTGTACTAAATAATAATAATAATATTTTAAAGTCCACTCCAAATCTTAACTCCTTATTCTTTTTGCCCAAATGAACCGGTGTGAAAGAAAGTTTCAAAATGTGACTGAAAAACTGCAAATTTGTACAAGAAAATTATGATGTTATAACTTCACTGCATTGCCAATTTAAAGACTTTAACGATTAGTACATTTAAATTGCTCTTATTTGAGAACGGCACAATGTGCATGTACTGCATTGGAAATAGACTCGACACTTCCTGTGATCTTTGCTCTTTCTGCTCATATAATTCCCAGCATTATGGATCAAAAGATAATGCAAAAACATCACTAAAAGGAGCCACTGTACTGTTATATTGTACAGTATATACATGTACATGTAGGTTAATGAAATGAAGCATAATGTACCTGCATATAAACATGTTTTGACCAAAATCTTTAATTTTAACTATCGTGTGATTCCAAAAAAAGTTTACACACCTAGAAAATTGCTCATTATTTTAAAAATCATCTATGAACAGTAAATTATTATTATTATTATTGGTATCATTGGCATCATTTTTGTGAAGTATGTGTTCACGTTTGGATGAACAGGAGGCATTGTTTGCAAGAGTGCAAAAATGACTTGGGACAAAGTGATGCCTTCAGCTGTTCAGCATGTATTATGTTGGGATTAGCGGAGTGAGAGAATGAATTGAATGTATCAAATGAAATGCATTGCATATGATTTTTGCACAAACAAAGTCACACACACACACACACACACACACACGCGCGCGCACACATGTCCGTTGGTATTTGATATGTGTGGCATGATTAATTTTGTTAGGGATATTATTTGGATCTCCAAAGACCGAATTAATTCCCAAATCCCAATTGTTTTATTCAAACATCACACAGGCAACTTTGGCGCAAATCGATTTTGCACTCTCGCAAACAATGCCTCCTGTTCATTCAAGCGTGAACACATACCACATAAAAATGATACCAAATGATTCACGATAAAACACTCTTTCATAAGATGTATAATCATTTACTGTTCATACATGACTTTTAAAATAATTCGCAATTTTCTAAGTGTAAACTTTTTTTTGACTCACATTGTACATGTACATGTACTCCAACTTAAATTTACTGAACACTGTACATGTAAAAATCAGTCGTAACTGTTTAGTAATAGTGGAATAAAACCACTCAAACAACATTTGTTACATGTAATCTTTTTCATAAAACACACATCCCTCTGCACATGCATTGAACACTCCGTTAAAAATTAATTTGGTTCAAGAAATTACAACCTTTTCATCTAAGTGGTGTCAACCGACACAAGAATCAATACCAGACTGCTATATATATACACAGCAATTCAAAGTAAGGCAGGTCTTGTGGAAAATGATCTCCAGTATTAGTATGCATGTGTCACGGCATAAAAACATTAGTGTAATGAGTATGATTTAGCGTTAGTAATGAGATTGAAATGGGAATTCAGACGTGAGCAACTTACAGGGATAACCTCCATAACCTGGCGCTGTGGGATAAGGCACATAAGTTTCAAGAATGGTTAAGCTCTGATTTTATTTTATTTTCCCCCTTTTTTTGGAAGGGGGGGGGGTAGCTTGTGTTATTTGAACTTGAAGATAACATATAGCACAAATACATGTATACATGTGTACAATGAAGTTACATTGTAAGGTAAAACTTGGGCTCTGAAATAAAACAAAAATGAAAGGAAGAAGGCATACAGTATATATTGCGAGAATCTAATTTTCATTTCATATTTTTATAAGAGCTCTAGTAGACCAGAGGGATGTTTCACAAAGGCTAAGATCGACTTTAAGTTGGACTTAACTAACTATGGCAGGCCATTCATGCCACTGGTTGGTGTCCCCATTATGATCTTTAGATAATACTTGTTCCTTCAATAATGAATTATAAAAAATGTAAATTCTGTAGATTTGTGACCATGATTTGTACGTCCCTTGAGAGACCAATGCCACTTGCCAGTAAATGGTGAGAGAAAACAGTGGCATGAATGGCCTGCCATAGTTAAGTCCAACTTAAATTTGATATGAGTCTTTGTGAAACACCTCCTAGGGTTGATAAATCAGGAAAGGTACATGTACATGCATGTACAAAAAAGATCTTCATATATAGAGGAAAATTATTTGGTACAATCAATCAAGTTTAAAAATCTACAGATATCCATGTACATAAAAACAAACATTTATAATTTGTACAATTTGAAATAAATTTTCTTTGTGTACAACATACATTAGGGATTTTTTTTTAAATGACCAAAATTCTACTCTCACAAAAAATTTGGCATGCACTGAACAGGAAATTGTTATTTGTTTTTTTACGCTTCATAAAATGCTCTCAATTGTTAACCACATAAATATATATTGACACCCCCCCCCCCCTTTTTATTTTGCTCAATGCTTTTGTGACTCTAATAATCATTTAGGAGATGGTAATTGTTCCCATACACAGTAGATAAACAGGTACATACACTGGAGCCCTCTTGCTTTTATGGTCACTTCCCTGTTGAAAAGACAAGACAGACCATTGGTACAACATCTGACGTCCATTCAAGGCAGTGCATTAAAAGGACGTCGATCGTAGCAATCCATGCTGTTGTTCGGCAAATCTAAAAGTCCCTAATGTACATGTAGGGTTTGACATCCCCCTGATCCCCATTCTAAGAATAACATCAAGTCCATCCACTTCCTCTTTCAGGCTTCAACAATATATCCTGTATATTATGTTTTATGGTTTTAATGTTTAAACTGCATCACAGTTCCTGCATAAATTCTGGTTTGTACATGTGTGTATTAAACATGGTGATTCAGTATCACTCAATCTGCACAAAATAGACTTTATATTAAAGATATTCTCAAACTTGTTTGTATGTATGTATTTATAATAAATCTTGTTCTGTTTAGAACTATTCATCTTTTCCTCTTTATCATTCTGTCCTTCTTTCTTCAACAATTATATTATGAATTGTAAAATTAGCAAATTAGCATTTGCTTTATTTTTCAGACTGCCGTAATTACAACCGACAATGATATATTTGTTGATGTTTATACTTTTTTAAGAACTATTGTTATGGTGATTTTCTTAATGACAATACTTTTGCAAAATACAGGTGTCTCCTAATGATTTCTAGTCCAAAGTACTTCCCCCATTTGGCTGTGAGCCTACTACATTTAATTACTAATTAAAAGTATATGATCTATTCTGACTAACAATCTACAGAGAACTTAATCTCATACACTGTATATTCTTAAGGACATGCATGCATGCAAGAAAATAAAAGCCATTAAAATAAATACAAACTTAACAGGGAAATCCACCCTGATATTAAGTTGATTTTGATAGAAGCAGAAAAATCATTGAAATAGATCAGTGACAGTTTGAGGAAAATATGATTAAAAATAAGAAAGTCCTGAATTTTTGAGGCTGCGGTAAATCAAACACAAATTGGCAACTCTGTGACACATCTTGCGAGCTCCTCTCCAATTTGCTCTGTACAGAATATTTCATAAACTTTCATTAAAAGTCTTACCGGTAGTTACTGAACACAGAATAGATTTTTTTCCACATGTACATGTAGGGGTTGTAAAGAAACATATTGGCAATGATTATCTATGGTGAATGTACGATTGACAATTTCTTCAGGGAAAATATTAAGTTTTGAACTTTTTAGTACAAGGCAAATGGGAAGGGAGCTAGCAAGATACGTCACAGCCTTGCTAATTTGTGTTTGATTGATCGATTTTTAATAAATTTTTCTAAAACTTTCACTGACCTGTTCTCTCATTTAAATTGAGATAAATCATCCCTAATGTGTGATCCCTATTAAAGGTACTTTATGTACCTTTAATGTCCCTTTTGCAGCCAACCTCAAATTCTGTAAAACTTTGCAGGAATTATGAATATGTCATGTATGTCCTATCTGTGAAATTTAAACGTTAGCAGTGTCCTCATATTCAAATTATGCAAGGAAACCTGTTTACTTGCTAGACTTCACTGTCAGACACTATTGAGTGACTGACTGGCTTTTTTTCTTCTTTGGTAATAACATACATGAAAAGAGTTGTAAAGGGTACATGAGCATTTGTCTACATCAATAACCCACTTCTTGTGATGGCCAAGATTAAATTGATTGAATCTTTGCGCAGCATAAAACGTATGACCATTCGGTACAATTGTCTGAAAATCAAGACTATTAGTTTTGGGCTCTATAGCCCTAAAGTCGATTTGACAACTAATAGTCATTAATTTCCCACTTGAAGACATTTTCAAGCCCCACCTTTTTTAGGGAAGTTCTAAATTAGTATTATCTTTCAACTGCAGTTGGAATTTAACTTTTTCATTTTTTTGGCCTGCAAATGGGACATAGTACCTTTAAGCTAAGTAATTACTCATGACAAGTGAATATTTCTTGAAAAGGTTATTCTACTGCAGAGCATGGTTCGTCTAACTCATGATGTGAAAATATTGTAGTGCCTTCTAACTAGCTACAATAGAAAGCAGCAATTTTTTTCTTTTACTAATTGAAAAAAAACTGCCTAAATACATTGCTACATTTATGATATATGTACATGCTAGTCACTACGTTTTCCAACGACAGCAAGAATTTTAGCTATCGCCACTACGACCAAAATGCCGGTATGTAGCCTCTTAGACGTAATTTTGAGCCCTTTCTGGGACTAACATGTACTTCCGGCGTAAGCGGCACATGTGCGGTACACGTCTTATACAAACATATACACAATGTACGTACGTATTATTCTATGTGGCTTTTATAGAGAGGTGGCACTTAGACAGATTTGACTGTATATTTATACTTATAGCTGGGATCAGACCAAATATGCAAAACAACAATTTTAGGATATATCAATGTTTTTAATCCATGATGTCATGTATGGTATGAAAACCAAACTATATACACCTTGGACTTGCCTTTTATACTTTATTGGTATTTTTTGTTTTTATATTACATTACTGAAAGAAATAAAGAACCCATTTGACTCACCAGGGGGTAACCAGCTCCCCCTGCAGGAGGGTATCCTGGAGCTGCTCCATAGGGTTGCCCTCCAGCTGGGGGTGGAGCTGCACCTGTTGGGTAGCCGGCGGCTGCAGGGGGGTAACCTGGGACCCCTGCAGGAGGGTAACCTGGAGCCCCTCCTGCTGGCTGCAAGGCGAGTATAAAGTCAGTGTGTTATTTTTCATTAAAAAGAATAATATTTGTCCCAGAGAATAAAAGTCTAATTTCCATAACATTGAACAAAGAAAGTACCTGTACATAAAATGAAATTAAGAAAAAATGTGAATTTTCAAGGTGGAAATAAAATGTCTTTATTCTGAAGTACCCTATACTGGTAAATGAGAAGAACATGTTTATCATGTAAAGTGTGATAATAAATCTTAATTGCAAAAATGAAATGGTAAAAGGCAATCTACAGTTTACAAAGAAATTTGAGAGTCACTGTGACTCAGTGGTACATTAGTGGTAGAGGTAGAGCCATAGACATAGTTCTGTAAATGGGAAGTCCCAAGTACAGTTTAGGACCACTTTTGTCTTTTGCTAAAGCAGTTTTACTTGATTATGAATTCCTGATGAGATGATGAGCAACAATGATCCTACGCATATTCACTGAGCGACGTGTTATAAGATACAGAAATAAGAAGCCTCTCATACTTACTTGTACGCTAATTTTGTATTTAAAAAAAATGGCAGTTTACCAGGTAAAAATGTGTGAGGTTGGATTTATACAGCTTTTCTAGCTGTACACAAATTATTTTGGAAGGTTTGTACCTGAATGAAGCTTAAGGAAGTCTAGTGTGGAGCCTTGCTATCAGCTTTAATAGCTTTCAAGTAAAATAAAACATCTTCACCACCTCTGCATAGTTTAGATTCATGAAAGACTTTAAAGGCTTGTTCAGATACAGTCGTTTAAAAGAAAAGGTGGTTTCTTTAGATGTAAAATGAATGACAACTGCGCGCAACAAAGGACTTGCACCTCTTCACATCTTGATTCAGATATTAGAAGCGTTTTATACTTTACTACGTAAAATATAGGAACAGAATCCTAATCAGAATACTGGTCCCAGATTTAGAGCGAGCACTTACCGGGTAGGTGCCAGGAGCAGGGGGTAACCAGGTTGACCTGCAGGAGGGTAGCCGGGTGCACCTGCTGGGGGGTAGCCTGGATAACTCATGATGATATCAGATTAGAAGTGGGTACAATCTGAAGGATGAAGCAGAAGAAGAAAAACACACTGGTGATTCAAAATCAAAGCTTCCAAATTGACTCAAGTGTGGCTTCCTTTTTAGTGATGTTGAACTCGAGGTAATTGGTATTTGAGAAATTACAAGCAAAGAAATACACTGTAAGTACTAGTAAAACTACACACCATGTGCAGTCTGGTACATTTACATGTTCATGTATATATAAAATAGAATCACACCTTCAGTTTACTGCACAAAGCACTGCAATTGATCACAGTTAGCAAAGGACATTAAAAACAAAATGCCAATGTGGTGCTGTCATTTATGTAATGTGTGTATTGGCAGTAGTCTTCTCGGTTAATAGCCCACACCTTTTCTTATCTTTTGGATACCATCTGAAATTATTTATTCCCACTTTATTAAGAACTGCATGCCTAAACAAACCTTTAACCCCTGTGACGCTGTCTTGTGATTCATCGCTACAATGTACGTCAGCACTCAGCAAACTATACGTACGCAGTAATCTAGTGTGCGTACGTTTCTTATTCTATTCCTTGAACTTCGATGACAAAAGTCTTATAAGATTGTAGTGCGGACATTTATGTCAATATTTGATTCACTACAAAGTGGTATTTCAGAAACACCTACCGGTACTCTGAACTATATAACTGCATGTGTACTTATCTTTTTTTAGATTTATAATAATTTGGGTGTTGTGCCTGTAGTGGTCTAGATGTCACTGGACTGTGGATCATACGGTACACGTTAGAGTCCATGCCACATCAAGAACTTCCTTTGACATGACATCAATCTATATTTGCTACACTCAACCCAGGTGAGGTAAATACATGTACCTGTACACTACATACTACATAGTACATGTACAGTGTACGTGTAGGTAGCTGAATACTTGTCTGACCTAACAAGGAAGTAAATGTTCATCTTTAATAACAATGTTCACAACTTTAAGAGAGTCACATTGAACAGCTGAGGTAAACTGCCACACTTAAAAAATAACTGAGTACAAACAGATTCCCTACCCCTCCCCCCCCCCCCCCCCCCCCCCCCCCCCCACTCCAGCAAAGCATAGTAGTAGATCTAGTCAATGCTAATGCGTATTGACCTGAAGATGGTTGGCCCAATCGGTAAAAGTAGGCACAAATATCTGCAAAATCAAGGCAAATTTTACCAACGAGACAGTGTTGCTCGTCTTAATACACAACTAAGATATGTGTGCCCCCCCCCCCCCCCCCCGCAAAGAAAAACAACTATCGACTTTAGTTTAGGGCTAGGTTTTCTACAACAAGTTCTCTAGTTTCTCAATTCTACATCTTGTCTAGAGTTGTTCAAAAGCATGACTAGATCCAGAGTTGTTACCAAAATAAAATTTATGTTTCTAAATTTAGCTGTGATCACACGAACACTGTATGAACACTGCTGACCTACAACATGTAGAACGATACAGGTGCAATGTCCAACAATATGCATAGCCCATTGGCATTGCATTGCAGATGGAATTTAGAAACATACCTCACTCACTCAGCTTAGCAACAATGCAAAGGGGGAAATGAAGCTATAAAAGGAATAATATTGCACCTACGGGGAAATATGATTTTGCAGGCCAGTTTCCACAAAAAACTGTTTTGTTAGTAGTTTTCCAATGAAATTGAATCTGGGTGCGGCGCTTGTTTACCATGAACGCCCAACAGACGGCTCCTGCGCAACGCAACGGGATGCACGGCCACGGGCCCACTCCTGCGCTGCCAGCCACTAGCTCTCCGTGTACACGGAGACAGAGAAGTCAAAGCCAGCGTATTTTACTTTTACAGACAACACGTTGTTTATAATCACAGAAACTAAAGAAATCATCACTGCGTATGAAATAGGATAATTTGAAACAAATCATCATCAATATTACCAATAAAACAGCTCCAAAACGACGATATCAGATGCCGGAAAGCCAGTGTCCTTAGTTTCCACACACGCCTACAAATTTTCAGCTCCAATCAATCAGAGATCGCAAAGCTCAGTGCACGTTAATAATAATACGTTAGCGCTAGTGTATAGCTAACATGGAAAAGCAGTGGCGGATCGATCCTTGGGGGCGGATGGGGGCGCCAAATATAGGGAACAAAAGAGGAAGAAAAGAAGAGGGAAAAAAGGAGAAGAGAAAAGACAGAGCGAGAGAGAAAGAAAAAAAAAGACAAAGGAAAAAGGAGAGAAAAACCGAGTGAGAAAGAGAGAAAGGCGAGGAAATATGGCACTAATTAGTGACAGCTAGTAACGACGAATAAGGGGGATCGGAATCCAGCATCAGGCGCGTACGTACGCTCCCCCTCAAATTTTGTTAATGTGTGGGTATCGGAGGATAACCACCCCCCCCCCCCCCCCCTCCTCTCACTTTTTGTCAAATGTAAAAAAAAAATATATATTAAAAAAAAAAAAAATGTGTTAATGGTTAACTTTTTTTTTTTTTAAGCCCCAATCTGTGCCGCAGAAAAAAATGACGCGCGCAGGAGGGGGGAAACTGAAAAATAACTTAGTTCCTTAAATTTGTAGTCAGTGGCGGATCCAGGGGTGGGCCGAAACGGCCGCGCGGCCCCCCTATTGGCGAAGCAAAAAAATTTGAGAAGGAAAAAAGAGAAAGAAAAAAAGAAGGAAAAAAAAGGGGGAAAAAGGAGAAGATAAAAGAAAAGAGAACAAAAAAGTAAAGAAAAGAGAGAGAGTTCAAAAAAGAGGAAAGAAAAAGAAGAGAGGAGCCGGGGAGAAAGAAAGACAACGAAATGGCACTAAAAATTAGTGACAGTAACGACGAATAAGGGAAAGACAAGGGGAAGGGGGTGCGTGAAGGCGGATGCATTGAGGGGAGGGGGGGGGGAGGGGTGACTGGCCGTATTCTTATTTTTAGATTATGCGAAAATGAGTCGAAATTATGCTTCTTTTCAAAACAATCTTAGCATGCTTGTTTATGTTAAGCCGGAGTGCATGAAAAGGTTAGTGTAGAAACACTTCTGAAAAGGCCGCACCCGGCCCCTCCAAAGAACGGCAGAATGGTAATCTATAAATTATGGGGTCATTCTTGATGGCTTTGGAGTCGTTATTAAGGAGGGGGCCGGTGTCACGTGAGAGACTTTTTTTTATTTTTTATTATTGCTACGGACACACAAAATAAAGGGAAATTGAGCTTGTTAATTAAAGTTAAATTGTAACGTTTAATTTCCAATCATTTCTCCTGTTTCACACACTTTGTTTTGGATTCAGTAATAATACAGTATGTAATTAAACTTATCTTTAACAAAATAATTCTGGATGGGTAGTTCCCCGTCTGACATCGACGCCGGTCACAGCTCGTGTCGTCCACTTGGCCCTGGCCTCCGCAGACAGCGTCTTTGTTCCACTTGGCCCCGGTAGTCGCCCCGGATTCTTGACCTCCGCAGACTGAGATACGATGGTGTGCGTCCCGATCCCAGACAAGAGCTAGTCCCCGACGAAAGCTATGGAGAACCGGGTGGCAGTTGAGCTAGCCTCTCGTCCCGACGTGGAATTACCCTCAGATATTGACTTTAATTGCCGACTTCTAACATGACGTTAAGTCTATTATAGCTTAGGTGGTTCTCCTCGATTGCAGAAAATCCACCTCTTAATATACCCTACGGTTACTAAGTAAATTCTAAAAACATTTTGTCAAGTTGTCAAGTTGGTCCTGATGTGTGTATAATGCGTAGACCAGGGGTTCTCAAACTTTTTCTTTGACGGTCCAGAAGCGATTTCTATGAAAGCTGTAAGGTCCGAAATGACACTTGTATACTGAAGATAATGAGGCTTGTTTTTGGTCTATATCTGATCCAAGGAGAATTGTTACAGTTTAAAAAATCAGAACCGCCAGTGCTTCCACTCGTTTAAATAGAGTTTCCTGAAAAAGAACACCCAATATCCTGGAATTTGAAAGAATTTTCTTAAAACTTTCAAAATGCCTCTTACTTGGATTTCTTATTTGGATCATGAATCGCTATGAGTTTAGATCCGTACAATATGGCACAGCTTTAGGGGCCTGGGAGCCCGGCCTGGGAGAGCCCCCACCGGGGGTTCCGGGGCGGAGCCCCAGGATGCTCTCGAGTTAATTTGACTTTAAAGAGCAAGTGTTTCTAAGATATAAAGAGAGATTATTTCTTCAATGAAGTGAAAGGACTCTTGAAAATAAAATAGCCCTTTCATTTCATTTTAGAAATAAACTCTTATCCATCCCTTGATATTTAAATTGCACTGCTCCTACTTCGTGCTTTGTTCACACTCTCCCTGCTCTATAAAGGGTGTTTTCTCTATTTGATCATCAACAGAAGCAAAATGCTAGGCCACGAACTTTTCGAAGCGTTACCAGATTCTAAGTATGCTTAAATGGGGGCATTGATGTATGTAGAAAAAACAGGATTAAGATCCCATGCAACGCTTCGAAATTTAAAGGAAGAACTAGATGGAATTTTGACTGCGCGCAGTCGAAAATGATGCCTCCGCCATAGAGCAATTTAAACAAGTTTGGAGTTTAAATCTCCAGTGGTTCTTGAGATATCATGATAACAATCTCAATGTATGGAATTTCATAAGTTGACCTCTATGACCCTTGACCTTTGACCTACGTGCTCCAAAATGTAATCAGATTGTTTTCCTATAGTGATACACACTATCACTAAGTTTGAAGTTTAAATCTCCAGTGGTTCTTGAGATATCATGATAACAATCTCAATGTATGGAATTTCATAAGTTGACCTCTGTGACCCTTGACCTTTGACATACGTGCTCCAAAATCTAATCAGATCGTCTTCCTATGGTGATACATACTATCCTTAAGTTTGAAGTTTAAATCTCAAATGGTTCTTGAGATATCGCGCTAACAAACTCAATACAAGGAATTTCATAAGTTGACCTCTGTGACCTGTGACCTTTGACCTACGTACTCCAAAATCTAATCAGATCGTCTTCCTATGGTGATAAATACTATTCCCGAGTCTTAAGTTTAAATCTTAAATGGTTCTTGAGATATTGTGATAACGGTCAAACGGGACGGACGTACGGACGGACAACCCGAAAACATGATGCCTCCGGTGTGACCGCGTAGAATGTTACCCGCACCGATCGTCCGCATATTACAGATCGATCGAGAGCGGACGATCGGTGCGGATTTTATCCGCGCAGAATGTCCGTGTCGGACATTCCGTGCGCGCCTCAAATGTCCGACGGACAATCTGTGCGGAAGAGGTCTCGCACCAATAGTCCGCCTGCCGCACCGAATGTCCGTACTCTAGTCCACACGTATACATATGAATGAAACGACTGGATAACCCATATTCAGCTTTGCCAGATGACACTACAGGTCTTCCCGGCGCGGATCAAGGGGGGGGGAGGGCCTTGACCCCCAACCGCCAACAAAAAATGAAGAGAGAGAGAGAGAGAGAGAGAGAAGGTAAAGCGGAGAGTAAGGGAAAGGAAGAAGAGAAGGAAGAAAAGAAAAGGGGGGAACAAAGGAGATCGGGGGCGAAAGGCCTTCGCGACTCCCCCCCCCCCCCCCCCCCTCAGCAAAAGAGAGAGAGAGAGAGAGAGAGAAGGAAGGAAAATAAGGGAAAGGGAAAGAAGAGACAAAGGGAAAGGAAGAAGAAGAAGAAGAAAAAGGGAAAAGAAGAAGATCGGGAGGGGGGCGAAAGGGCTTTACCTCCCAGGCTGTTGCCCCCCCCCCCCCCCCCCCCCCCAGCAAAAAGAAAGAGAGAAGGAAGAGAAGGGAAAGAAAAACGGGAAAAGACGAGATAAAGGGAAGAAAAGAAAAGAAGGGGAATATCAGTTGCAGTTTTCCCGCCAACAAGTTGGGGATCGGGGGGGCAAATGGCCCTTGTCTCCCCCCCCCCCCCCTTCTACAGCAAATTTAAAAGAGAGAAAAAAGAAGAGAAGGGGAAGGGAAAGAAAAGAAAGGTACGGAGATCAATTGTGATTTTTCCCACCAACGCGGTGTGGATCGGGGGCGAAAGGCCTTCGCCTGCCCTCCCCTGGCCCCTCAGCAAACAAAAAGAGAGAGAGAGAGAGAGAGAGAGAGAGAGAGAAGGAAGGAAAAGAAGGGAAAGGGAAAGAAGAGAGAAGAGGAAAGGAAGAAGAAAAGAAAAAGGGGTCCGACAGGGCCTTGCCGCCCATGCTGTTGCCTCCCCCCCCCCCCCCGCAAAACAAGAGAGAAGGAAGGAAAGGGAAAGAAACAAAAGAAGAAAAGAAAAGAAGGGATATCAGTTGCAATTTTCCTGCAAACAAGATGTGGATCGCGGAGAAAGACCTTTGCCTCTGCCCCCCCCCCCCCTCCCCGACCACCCCACCCCCTCCCCGCCAAAAAAAGAGAGAAAGAATGGAAAGGGAAAGAGGAGAGCCAAAATGGAATACAAAAGAGGAAGAGTAAAAAAAAAAAAAAAAAAAAAGGGTGAAAAGAGGCAGAGATCAGTTGCGAATATAAATCCTACCAACATCGTGTGGATCGGGGAGAGGGGGGAGGGGGCGAAAGGCCCCTGCCTCCCTCAGCAAACTTAAATGAGAGAGAGAGCGAAGTAAGGGAAGGGAAAGGGGGGGAGGAAGAAGAAAGGTAGGGGAGATCAGTTGCAATTTGTCCCGATTTGCACCCCTACCCCCCCCCCCTCAACAAAGAGAGAGAGAGAGAGAGAGAGAGAGAGAGAGAGAGAGAGAGAGAGAAGGGAAGTGAAAGGGAAAGAGGAGAGAAAGGGACAGAAAACAAAGAGGAAGAAAAGAAAAGGAATTAAGGAAGATCAGTTACGATTTTCATTGGTTCTTCTATCATCATTGTACAACTATCATTGTACAAATGTATTCATATATTCATTTTTTTTTATTCCTGTTTGATAACAAAAATATGAATATAAACTCACAACAGCAACAAAATTAAATGTAGAAGGAAACTATCTTGCTGGGAGCAAGAAGCGGAAAAATGATCATGCATTTGCATGTACATGTAAGTGTATCATTAATATCATTCATATTGTTTAATTACATCTTGTGAAATAGTATGCATTCAAGCTTTTGGGATTTTTTTTTGGTGTATTTG